TGCCCAAGGGACGCAACTCTGCACAGCGATTAGCGGCGCCTTAGACGACTGGGCCACCCGTGCCCCCATGTGTTGAAGGAACATGGTTAGGTTATTATTGGAAAAATACACAACTTGGATCAAGATAATCTTAAGCATGTTAAGAACTATTGGTCAATATTTTTGTCAAAGGTACTGAATAATATGTTATGTGTTATAGCACACTTCTCCAAGAATCATCTTCTCAACAAGCTATAAGACAGCCAACCCCTCTCTCTATACTACCGAAACCGACCTATTGAAGATACTAAATGATGCGGTGAGTGTGTTAGACACTGGTAAACTGACTTCTTGGGTGTCACTGGATCTAGGCATGCTAAATGCAGCCTTCGACCCCATTGATTCGGATAAGCCTATCTTGACCATGAAACAGGAAATGGGAATTGATAGAAATGCCCGGAGCTGGTTTGCCTCCATCCTGGCTGGCTGCTAACAATCTATTGTGATCAACGATGAAACGTCAGGCAAAGCACTTGCAACGTCCCCAGGGTTCTGTCCTTTGTCCATGCAACCCCTGGTATATTTATAAGGCAGTGTCCCGATGTGCATGATGTAAGGTCTGACAAAATAAGCTGCTGTGTCTAAAACTAGAAACAGTGTCCAAGGCAGTGAACACAGCCCTTTCATGTTTTCTGACTCATAAGTCATGATACTCATCAGTGAAAGAATACTTCCCAGGGCTCAATTTAGCCATATAAAAAAAACAAAAAACATGCACCTGTGCAACCTATTATTGAAAATGCAACATAGTACTTATATGTCTTTTTGTCTGACTACTAACCCTTAGGGACCCATTCAAAAGTTTGATGGATTTAAAACTTAATTCTTTAAGTTTTGAGATATACCTCTCTAACCACCCCCCCCCAAAAAAAAACAACAACAACAAACAAACAAACAAACAAAAAACCAAAAAACAAACAAACAACAACAACAACTTAATTCCGAAATGTTGAATTTCTGAGTCTTGTTACCTCTTTTGTCACGCATTCATGTGTTTTGACTAGTTTTTTTCCACAACATTTATAGAACAAAGTTTATTTACTAGGTGACAATCATTTGTAGGGCTTTTATAGATTGGAAGTCATCAATGACAACTCCTAACACCATATGAATGAAAATAGGATCGGTTTAGTTCAGTTACTTTATAAAACATTTAGAAGTCAAGTAAGTTGATTTTGTTGGATGGAAAACTTGCAGGGCCATAATCACCCCCACCCCTAAACTTAAGCATTTGCAATGAGCATGATAAGGAATAAAGATTTTTTTTCTAATTCTCCAGCCATCAAGCCCCTGCTGCGGACAAGAGTTTTACGATTGGAACCATGGAACTGAGCTTGTGTTCATGTTGATTCAAGTTTGTTGTTTTGGTGTGTGAGAACAAGTGACATCTTTTATCACTGACCTTCCATAAAAGGATCTACTACCATAGAGTTGTGTCTAACTGTGGAAGTGATGGAGTTGACACATAGCAACTTTTAACATTCTAAGAAATTGGAGACCGTCTCCGTGGTCTAGTGGTAGAGCGTCCGCCCGGAGAGCGGAAGGTCCGGGGTTCGATCAACGGCCGCATCATACCAAAAGACATCAAAAGACAGACTTGTTGTTACCTTGTCTGGCGCTCGGCATTAAGAGGCTAAAGTCTGGTCGGCTCGGAGTCAGTATACTGTGTCTGAGTAGGGTATTCATGTTAAACTGCGGCATGGTATCTCAGTGAGCTGGCACTATAAATTGGCATCAGTCCGGACTAGTACAAGCAGCCACACACACACACGTGCATGCACGTCGCTATATAAGTGCAATAATCTTGGACGCGACGTTAAACCCAATTTCACCTCACCTCTAAGAAATTGGAGTGGCTTAATCATGTGTAACAAAATGGAAGGCAAAATTGCTACATCAACTGTCAGTGAGATCATGTAGTTATTTCTTCAGATTGTTTGATAGGTCACAGCCATTGATGGTAGCTTTAGTATCTGGCGGTGATTCATTTCACAGAAGCAGAAAAGCTTCTAGTCCTCAGTCTCTGAGGTGAACTTTTCACCTCATTTATAACATCTAGCTAGCTAGCATAAGATCCAAATCTTTTTACTTCGTGATTTCCTGCAGCAAAGTCATATATATGCATGAATGAGAGAGTGAAGATAATTACTCTTTCTAAATCAAATATAAGTCAATAAAATCTATTCTTATCCAAAAGGTTACATTAACATCATATATCCCATTACCATGATTACATACACTGACACAGTCATTACAAATGTTGGATTAAATTTTATTATTACTTATTAGAATAATGGCCATTTGAAAGCCAGCAGATAACATTAATAGAGGATTATGTACATTTACATTATACAATCATGTGTTGCATTAAGTTATGTTTCCTGTTCTGTGTTACAGATCTCCATCATTTGTGATGTCGAATAAAGATATCTCACAACAGTATAACACCTACTCATTTAATTAATGTAGACTTTAGGTAGCTTTAGCATTTGTCTGAGATTCAAGTCACAGACACGGAAAAGTTAAACATGAACAGCTCTGCAATCTTGTCGTTTTGTCACCAGTCATTATAAACTGTTTAAGTTAACACAGAATGTCCACGTTAAATGTCATTTGACATCATAACTACAGGGGTCAATTTAACTCTGGCCCGTTGGCTCATGTCCCTGATGGCCAGTTAGAATTACAAAAGTAAACATAAAGTAGATGGCCCATCTTGCTAGCCAAAATTTCACCCCTTATCTGTGTTTGTTTAATGTCTTAAATAGATCACTGCTCATGAATCAGGTAATTTCAATAAGAAATTATTGAAGGGGGATGAGGTTGTGTGAATGGTTAACTCAAAGATCATCTTGGTAGAATGACACAACAGGCTGCCATTGTTTTACATCAACATCTTTATTTGAACATAAAATCACCAGAAAATGAGGCAAATGAAGCCAAGATTTAATCTCAGAGTGCAGGAAATGATGTTTTAGGGGGAGGAGTTCTGAAGTTTTCAGGGCCCCTGGGTAACTCAGTAGTGGCCTCAAACATTTATTTTGGTGCCAGTTAGTTTAGAGAGAGGACAGTAACTTTTGAAAGGAGCAAGCGCTGCTGGCTACATATGAATTTGTCTTTAAATCTACCTCTGTGTCTATGATCCTGTCAAAACAAACTTGCCGCAGTGTCAAATGAGTGATTTTATTTAAAATGGGATGTTCCACCCCCTTGTTTTTCTTTGTTCTATTTCCAAACAGGGGAATCCCTTAGTGTACGACAGAATTAGACAATAAACCTGGCACCCGTAAAATCCCCTTGCTTTGACTGTAAATGTGTTAGTGCCTATGCATTTTTTATTCGTGAACTTCCGTAAATATGATAAATGTTCCTTCCGGTCATGAGCATTCCACGCACGGCATTTCATTGCATGAACATACTGAACAGTATTATATGTCTGCAAGCTCTTGATTATGTATTTAGCCTGCAACCTCAGGGTATCGCGGTACTTGTCATGTACGCTAAACGGAACAAAATGCACTCACTAACCTTTATGTTTATTCGTGTTCTCTGTATCAGATATCATTCATGTTATCAAACAATGCATATTTTACTTATAAAAGTTCATTATTTACATCAGTAGCTCCGGGTAAAGGCCGGGCCTCGCGCTCAGTTTGACAAGGGAGAGAACTCCATCGTATCTCGGTACAGAGAAAAGTTGTGTATGGAGATCCGAAGTGGACAAAAAGAGGACATAATTCTACCAACCACTTGGTATGATCATGCCAGACATCAGTGATTTGTCCAGACAAGTGCAAAGACAGCACAAGTAAAATTCTAAATGTGTTATCAGCAATAGGTATTCAATGCATATTTACCGAAAAGTAAGAGAAAAATATTTTTATAAGTCAACATCAAAATATCAGAAATGATATTTTAAGATTGTTTAAAAAAAATTGGATGACAATAATTTGTCACAAAATGGAAAAATGTTAAAAGTCAACAATAAATATATAAAAAGCACTCCTCGTATGCCCAAAGTATGTATTTATCTTTTGGTTACTAGTGAAGAACGTATTTCTAAGTTTGGCATTATGGCCCTTATGATCTCCCAATAGATTCTGGGCACAGAGCGGGAAAAAATGTGCGGACTACGTAACTTCCGTTACCTCATTAGTCGCCATGAATATGCAAGTGATCTAGTTCAGGTCGATAGAGAAAGTTTACTTGGGGAACTGCGGGTTATATCGTTGGCCATTGATAGATGGGGGTAAGGCATTATTACAACAGATGCCAGAAATATGTATCAACGGATTAATAACTCCTTACTTACAGCAAAATTTCACATTCCGAGGAAATTGAAATTGTTTACGAAGTGAGCACTTCCTGGTTACTGATTTGCATTAATAGACAGCCGCTAAGAGGCGTGTCCCGCGTGAACTACCGGAAATCACAAATGCCGCGATACGATGAATGCCGCGGTACCATGGGGTCCGAGTATATGTAGGTAATAAGTTATTCAGGACAAGAAATCAATGATTTATAATTATTATCTCGCCTCTTTGTTTACACCTAGCTTGTACAATGACTAAGGGGTAGAAATCTTCTGTCACTAAAACAGCACAGGTATTATCGTAAATTAAAGAGGGAATTGTCTTCAGCGTTCATTGTTCTCTCTGAACAGTGCTCAATGCTGACCTTTCTTGACATGCATGATTGCATATTCCCAGCTGTCCTTGACAGTAATTCTTAATGATGACCTTTACATAAGATCACTGGTGCCATTTAAAGATGTATACAAATCTACGTATAGCTAGTATTTTGAGTGGTGATATGTTATGTTAATCAAAAACGTCAATAGAATTATGATTCCTTGAACAATATCTGATGACATGGATATTTTTAGATGGTGTTACAACTACCACCTGTAACGACTGGTGTTTATAAGCACTGATAAGGATATAAAGAATAATAAAACTCACTCCCAAACTCTTTAGCAGTGTTGATGGCATTTGCAGACAATTCCTCGAGAGCTTGTTTTGCTGTCAGATCTTCTGTGTCGGAGGCAGAAGTAGAGTCTTCTGTTTTCGTGTCACTAATGCTACTGACACTTTCCGTTGGGGACGAAACACTAGTGTTTTCAGATGTCTGATTCTCTTTATCGTCGTCAGAAGACGTTGGTGAAGACGGTTTTTCACCAACGCCAAGCCAGCTCGACACGGAACTAAACATACTTCTTGACAATGGATAAAATTACAGCTGATTCAACTTCGCAAATGAATCCCACCTGGGCATAGGTTTATAAACATATGTCACGTGATCAAGCACGACGAATATTTTTAGCTGCTATTTTTATATTTGCTATATTATTCTGAATTAGGCTCTTGGTTTCTTAAGAACTAATATCATAAAAAAATATAATGGTATATATATTAGAAGCTCTCCTTGATACGAGAAAATACGATATGTAAATATTCAACATGGCGACCTTCTTTGGAGAAATTTTGCCAGTCACGTCCCGTGCTGTTGACGATGATGATGAAGATGAAGATGACGTACCTGTTGCAAGGTTTTGTTCGTAATTTATGTAACAAGTGTACACTATCCTAAATGCGTCCGTACATACATTCGACAGTTCATGGTCCGTTTGCCAGCATCATGTTTCCAATGACGCACGTGATTTCTTATGACTGTGTCACCTATTTTCGTGGTATCATAAAATAGTGTTTTCAAGCATGATTGCAGGTTAGTAGAATTCCATGTCGAGTACTTGACTACTCAGGCCTCCGTAGGAGGATAGTGAGGATACAAACAAACTCTCAAAACAACACTTTGATGTTTTTTTAATTATTTTTTTTAAATAAACAAAAACGTACGTGCTCAGTAAGCTGTCTTTTTGCATTTGTGGAAGATCATATCAATGATGTCAGTAGCAATGCAGTTTACTATAGCGCAAATTGGCTCAGGCTGCCGACTGTGGCTCTCGCTTCACAGATCTCGCGTGCCTCTTCTGCTTCACAGATCTTATGTGCTGAGTTGGGGTTTAGAAAGTTTGAATCCGCGAAGAAAAAGCCATCCATATTTTAATACTTTCAAAGTTGCATAATTTGGCTTATTCAGTTGTATTTGTGTTTATTATGACATACAGTAAACAGTAATGTTTGGAATGATTAAATATTGTTATTGTTTGTGTCAGTTCCTCCTTTGTACACTGGTCGTCTAAGACAAGAGAGGAGATGGAGAAGACTGCCACTAAGATGCTGCCATGTGATACACTCATCATTGCTGTGGGACCAGCAGCAACAGGTAAGAGCTTCTAAATAATCCTCCATTATCGACCTGGTGACAACCCATGCTTGCCGTAAAAGACGACTGCTCGTCGTAAGAGACGACGAACGAGATCAGGTGGTCAGGCTCGCTGACTTGGTTGACGCATGTCATCGTATCCCAATTGCGTAGATCGTTGCTCATGATGTCAATCACTGGATTGTCTGTCACTATTATTTACAGACCACTGTCATAAAGCTGGAATAATGCTGCGTGCTGCGTTATACCACAAACAAGCAAGCAACCTGGTAACTGTTAGCCAGAGGTTTCAAATATTATAATGTGTGGCATTGAATGAATTTGAAAACATATGTTTAATCTCCCAAATGGCTGGTCAAGACTCCATTATTTACAGGCTTCTGTCATATGGTGGCAATATTGCTAAGTGTGGTATCAAACAACAAACAAAAGTGATATTGCTGAGATATTAATATTGTTTTAAAGCAGTGTGCAACCCTCTCCTTTTCCATGTTCACTTCTCTCTAAATTGATTATTTGGTTTCTGATCTTGGCTTCAGGATTCACACAAACGTTCATAATGCAAGACAGATATGAGACACTAGGAGGAGTCTTCAGCGGTTTGAAAGATCGAGATATTGTGACACTTGGTCAGCAGTCACCGACAGACAAAACATGCTTCCTGTACAGATCCCTTGACAGTCCTGGGGTGGTCGTGTGTCAGTGTAAGACTGATGTAACACAGGAACAGTGCTTCTCCTGGGTGGAAGAGGTAGGATGATGGTGTCGATGATGCCAATAAGGATTGTGAAGTTGATGATGATGATGATGATGAACAGAGCTCGATTTAGATCTGTAAAACATGCAGCAGAGCAACATATTATTGAAAAGTGGAACCTAATATTTATGTCTACATGCACCAAGTAAATGTAAAAGAAAATCAAATTTGTGGCTGACTATCCCTTACCGCCCCAATCTTTGAACACAATCAATACCTCGAAACTTTATGTACCCTACTGTAATTTGTCTTGCTTTCTTGGGCTTGATGTCATCAAACTGTGGGTACACAGTATTATGTGCACTGGTTCCTATTGTGTGTTACAGCAACACATCATTAAAATTAAAATCTTGACACTGTCACATGTCTGGTGCAACTAGGTATTCATGTCAACATGCATCTGGTGCAAGTTAAATCAAGCTACTTAAATCGAGCTCTGATGATGAGAAGGATTTTGATGACGATAATGAGGATGAGGATTGTGAAGTTGATAGCTATGATGAGGATGATGATGAGGATTGTGAAGTTGATAGCTATGATGATGATGATGATGATGATGATGACGATGACGATAATGAGGATGAGGATTGTGAATTTGATAGCTATGATGATGATGAGGATTGTGAAGTTGATAGCTATGATGATGATGGTTGTGAAGTTGATGATGGTTGTGATGATGATGATGATGACGATAATGACGATAATGACGATAATGAGGATGAGGATTGTGAAGTTGATAGCTATGATGATGATGGTTGTGAAGTTGATGGTTGTGATGATGATGATGATGATGATGATGATGATGATGATGATGATGGTTGTGAAGTTGATGATGCTCACAATAAGGTCAGTGAAATGTTTATTTCTGAAAAAGCCCTCTGGCCCTGATGATGGTTGTTCATTTGCAAAAAAAAGTCTGTGCAAACAAACCTGGAGTCTACCAGCCCAATTTGTGGACTGGTATAGTCTGGTCTTAAAATACCAAAAGAAGTGTTACTATAATCAGGCTCTTGACTGGTGTCTGAAGTCAAAAACTGCAGTTAACAGTGTGTGAAACATTATCATGATCATATGCGCAGGAACAGTCTGCTTTCTTTGTTGTTTGTGTGGAAAAAGTTAGTGCCAAATCTGTTTAAAATGCAGAATGTTTACTAGTTTTGCAGTAACAATGTATTTGTTTTTGTCAGGGAATGCTTTATCCACCATTTTAGATGGCCAGAGAATATACATATGCATTTGGGACTTGTATCTAATTATTTTTCTAATTCAATGAAGAATGAACAGTTGGTCAAATCATTGTCAAATAGGTAGATTTAGATACTTCATTTTATATTTTAGGTTGATAAAGAAAATAAATAATTAAAAGCGTTCCCTTATCACATGTATCAGACTTATCATTACAATTTTTGCACATGGTTGGTCCAGTCGTCTTAGGTGCTGCAAATTGCTGTGCAGAGTTGTGTCCCTTAGGTATGCCAAAAACCTATGATCATGCAGGGTTTAACCTTGACTTACTCCAGGGGACCCCAAATAGTTAATTTTAAGGGTCCTTGGCAGGCAATATGATGGTCCTGTAAAGTAATGAAATGGTGTAGTGTACTGCACGTTTAAATAATTACTTTAGAGGCTGGAATCAGAGACCATCGGTATATGGTCTCTGCTGGAATGAATCAATGATCATATGGACAGTGGTCGTGATTGATGGATGAAATGACAGACACCCTAACTGCTCTTGATACGTTGAAGGTACAATGAATAGTATCGTGTTTCCGTCGGGATGCAGTATAATGTTTCCTATGTCCTTTCTCTACATTTGTGCCATGTAAACCCTGGATCATGGGTTCAAAAGGGGGGCACGGGTGGCCCAGTCGTCTAAGGCGCTGCGATTCGCTGTGCAGAGTTGCGTCCCTTGGGCACGCCAGAAACCTATGATTGTGGGTTCGAATCCCGGTTCGCCCCAATTATGTTTCTAGGTTTGTCAGCACCATACCCGTGCTTGTGGGTTTCACCGAAGTGGTAAACATCTGAAACCTGCATCACTTCGGGCTTTCTTCCCACATTAAGCTGACACGCCGCGATATGACTGGAATACTGTTAAAAGCGGCGTTAAACCCAACTCACTCACTCACTCAAATCCAAAATTCACCGATTGTTTTTCTAGGTTTGTCAGCAACATCAGTGAGCTGATGGGTTTCTCCAAAGTGGTAAACGTCTAGCCCATCATCACTTTGGGGACCGTCCAGAACAAGCTGACATGTGACATCACTGAAACACTGTTCAAATCAGTTCACCAAACTCACTCACCCTCTCATTTCGATTTTCTTTTCAGGTTCTAGGTGGTTTTGAGCTGTCCAGTTGTTATGTGGCTGTGCTGTGCTCTCTGATGACAAGTGAATATAAAAGTGACATTCCAATCTCAGAACTCACAACTCCATTTTTACGAGGGTTGAAGACGGCACATTACCCAGCATCCCCTGCCTGTGCGATCCTGGAGCAGCCCAGTATGTTGACCGGACTGCCCGCCCAAGGTGAGTCGAGCACCTGTGTCAGGGACATATACTGAAGGAAAGAAATAACGGAACTATAAATGCAATTGTGTAATGGAATATAGAGTACGTACACTATGCTTGCCATAAGACGCGCGTGTGTTTGTGAATGTAAAGTAATGTAATGTAATGTCTCCATCCCAGTGATGAGCTACTGCCAGGTGCACGGGGTGAAGGCCATCGTCTACATCAGCTACACCGACTCCATCTTCCTCGACCTGCCCACGATGAAGATGTTTAAACCACTGCTTAAAGCAACACCTCTCAAGGATGTTGTTAAGGTGAGTTAGTATTTGTAGAGGTGAGTTTAAAGCTACACCTGTCAAGAATATTGTTAAGTTGAGTTGAGTATTTGTAGAGGTGAGTTTAAAGCTACACCTGTCAAGGATATTGTTAAGTTGAGTTGAGTATTTGTAGAGGTGAGTTTAAAGCTACACTGCTCAAAGTTATCGTTTAAGGTGAGCTTAAAATGATGCTCAAATCTCAAATGACTTTTTGAAGGTGGTTGAAACCAATGTCCTTGCAAAGTTTTAGCTACTTCTCAAAGCTCAAAGAATTTTGTGATGGTGAGCTTAAACTATTGCTCAGTGTTTTAGCCATGGTTAACCCAGCCCAGCTCAGAATATTTTTTTTACTTAATTGCTAGAATATTACTGACTGTGCATAAAACAATAGTCACTCAGATATATTTTGTTACTTATATTATTAATAATGGAAATAAACAACATCAATCCTCTATGTTCCAGAGCAATCCTCAAGGCGACAAGATGCTGCTGAAAATTGTTGACCAACACACAAGTCAGAACACACTGTATTTGTAGTGATCTGCGCTGGGCACTGGCCTCCTTTGTTAACACTCGTATAGACAGTGCTTAAGATGAAGGCTGCGGACATGTTGGAGCTTACCGTGAACTGCCAGTCACTGCATCAATTAGTATGCTGTTCAATCTATCTTCTGGCGGAAGGGTAGCCGAGTGGTTGAAGGTCGGCTTGTCACACCAAGGGCCTGGGTCGAGTCCGTTGTGGTACATGGGTGAAGCCCTTTCTTGGTGTCCCACATCAGGGCATTGTTGGAATATTGCTAAAAGTGCTGTGAAACCATCAGGGAGTAATCAGGAATATTCAGCCTGCATTGGAGGCATGGAGGCAGTAGGGTAGCACAGTGGTTCAAGTGCTTGCCTGTCACATCAGAGACTTGAGTTCAAGTCCCAACATCTAAACAAGTACACCCTGTTGAAGTAATGGACCAACTAATGACCTCTCTCTACTATGCTTGTCGTAAGAGGTGACTTAGGGGATCGGGTGGTCAGGCTCGTTGACTTGGTTGAAGCATGTCATTGATCCCAATTGCATGGATCGATGCTCATGATATCAATCACTGGATTGTCTGGTCCAGACTCGATTATTTACAGATCGCCGTCATATAGCTGCAATATTGCTGAGTGCAGCGTTAAACAACCAACAAACCAGTTAGTCACCTCTTACTACAAGCATAGGTTGATGAAGACCTATATTCTTCCTCTGAATCCCCACGGGTGATGATTCAGATGCTTCAGGTGGTGTAGTGATATTATTTTTTTAACCAACAAATAAAACCATGCCCTGCTAACACTAAGAGGGGTGCAGGAGTGCGCTCAAACCAACAAACATTCAGATGACATTGGTCAAAAGACGAAGATGCCGATTCCATATTTGGAGTAGCAGAGGAACTTTCTCACAAAGCACGACAAAATTTTAACTGACGTTGAGATGATACTTATTTCTGTTACTGCATTAAAACCAGCAGTGGTATGGAGTTTATACAACCCTGTGACATAATTTACATGATATATTTTTATCATTATTATAATATTGCTTACTCTTGCATAAACAACAGTTTTTATTCACCATCATGATGGTAATCCATTCATCTGCTTCATTCAGACCAAGACATGATTCTGATGCTGATAGTATAGTACATATGTCTACGACCCGTGAAGATCCAGGGTAGAATAGGTCTTCAGCAACCCATGCTTGCCGTAAAAGGCGACTATGCTTGTCGTAAGAGGCGACTAACGGGATCGGGTGGTCAGGCTCGCTGACTTAGTTGAAGCATGTCATCGATCCCAATTGCGTAGATCGTTGCTCATGATATCAATCACTGGATTGTCTGGTCCAGACTCAATTATTTACAGACTCCTGTCATATAGCTGGAATATTGCTGAGTGCAGCGTAAAACAACAAACCAACAACCAACTGATGCTGATAGTTGTGAAATCGGCATGTTTATTTTGATAGATAACAAAGACTTCTGTACAGAGTGAGAGTTACAGACGACCCTGTACACACACAACAAACAGGACACATGTATAGATGTAAATAAACAGAACATACACGTTCTTCTTCTTGTCTTAGGATCTACATGATCACACAATTAGGTCACCTGGTTGTACAGGATGGTGTCAACCATAAAAATATGATCAAAGTTTAGCAGTATCCCACAGTTTGCCCCCAATACCATAGAAATGACGCTTTTTATCACTTTAATGAAAGATCTGCCATCTTTCAAAGATGTGGAATGAACTGAAATAAAAATGTCTTCAGGTAAGGCTTTTCAGAAGATTTGCTTTTGGAAAATATAAAAACCGAGGCCTTAAGATTCGTAAATCTGACGGGTGGGAAAACTGCAAACACTTGATGTGTGACCTGACAGTAAAGAGAAAATCCTAATACATTTGGGCCCATTATACAAAGAGATCTTAGCACTAAGATCGTTTTGAGGAACACGTCCCTGACACTTAACACCATGACTCCAAATCATTGCATCAACAATCCTTGAGGTGACCAATTTTTATCAGTTTCTATGCTTTCATAGATTACTTAATTAACAAAGGATGTTGTCTTTTGGTTCAAGGACAAAATAGATCTTATGATTGTGACTGATCAACACAGATTTATGATTGCTTTTTTTAACCACAGCCTTCCACAAAGTGATCCTTGAGTTACAACTTCCAAAGTCAGTGCTAGTTATAGTCATCTTAGCGCTAAAATCACTTAGTGGAATGACATCCAGCATGGTTCCTGGTTACTGTAATAGTGCTGACCTTGTACACTGATTTGTTATCACATTGTAGATGAAGCATAAAAATACAGGTGGTAAAATACTAAATGACTCTCTAGCAACATTTTAGGATAAATACCATATGGACAGTTAGGGAGTAGGTCTTTTCTGTTCCATAAGTCACAAAAACAATTCCATAATAAAAGTGTCACATTTTCTGTCCATCTTTAAGATGCGATTCATTCATACAATTTCAAATGATGCTCACATGTCTTTGAGATCAAACTGTCCATGGCATCTGCAAGGCTGTTTCTGATTGGATGAAAGGAACTCCCAAGGTCCAATCAGATTTTATTAAGTGGTCTCAGAGTAATGTTTAAACAGGCACCTGTCATCAGTAATCACACAAAGAAGAAACTGAAGATAATTTTCCAGTTTAGAAGGATACCTGCATGATAATAAGTTCAGGTGACTCTTTTTGAGTTTTGAGTTTATTGATTTAACTGATTATTTTTCTTTCAGTCAAAAACAAAAAGGTTTGAATTTGTTATTTGACAAATTGCTTCATCCTTGATGGATTAGAAAAGCATTTAACTTATTTGACCCACCTAGCTAATTGGTTGGCAAAATATGCTTACCATAAAATAACAAGTGTGGCCTGACATTGCACATAGATCATGTTAAACCAATCTCATTAAAATCAGATCTTAGGTATCGCTACTGCCAAACAAAGATCTGAGGACATCCCATTACAGGTCACGTCTCAGCGACTTTTCATCCGACCAACCAGAGTAGCTTACCAGATCAGGTATGATGCAACCTCAAAGGGGTATTACAAAAGACAGTTACAGTCTTTAGGACTGAATCCATAGACCATCTATTAGCCATTCAAAAATGTTCTTTTGTTCAGTTTTCAAATTTTTAATCGAGAATTTATCAAAATATATTTCGAAGTGTAGTCGCCAGTTTGAAACTAGTGACGTTAGGCATGAGATAGCTGCATTCTCATTGGCTAATGTCGACTTCCTGTCAGTCAATCCATTGGTCGGTCAAAGTTTGCGAAAGGTCGGTCTGACGTGACCAGTAATGGGATGTCCTCAGATCTGTGTTTAGGGGTAGCGATAACTAAGATCTAATTTTAATGATGATAAATCAAAAGTGAACAATACATCTCAGGTGAAAGTTTGACAGCTATGGAAACAATTTTGGATACAGCCTGTTGAATCTTCTATCCATGTCCTGAGGTTGAATGATTATCCTGTGATAAGTCCTGGGCCCTTTAAGCAATGTGATACTAACAGGCATTTCTTTAGTCTTACTGGTAATGTTACCTCTGAACTGCCTAATCCCGTTCAGGTTTGTTGACAAGTATCCACTGACGTGGTCCAGACTGTCAGACAAGCCTTCAACCTCATGTAGAGGAGAGGTTGTGTTTATTGTTCAAAGCCACACTGAGCAATATTCCAGCTATGTGATGGCAGTCTGTAATAATGAAGCCTGTAGCAGGACATCCAGGGATTGATATGTACAACGATCAACGCTGTCGGGATACAACGACAATCAATCGTACCACCGAGTCTGACCACTCAATCCATTATGTCGCCTCTTACGACAGGTATAGGTTGCTAGTAGTGAGTGAGTGAGTGAGTTGGGTTTAACGCCGCTTTTAACAGTATTCCAGATATATCACGGCGTGTCAGCTTAATGTGGGAGGAAAGCCCGAAGTGATGCAGGTCTCAGACGTTTACCACTTCAGTGAAACTCATGAGCACTGGTATGGTGATGACAAACCTAGAAACAATCGGGGAGAACCGGGATCGAACCCACAATCATAGGTTTCTGGCGTGCCCAAGGGACGCAATTCTACACAGCGATTCGCGGCGCCTTAGACGTCTGGGCCACTCGTGCCCCTAGGTTGCTGGTTAATGATTCTTATCCAAGATGGGCTTAAACAAGTGCAACTACATGCATTGAAAAAAAAGATTGAAAAGGTCACGATTTTTATGAACAAAACAAAATAATGATATTTTTTACTGTAACAAATAAGATGCCAGTGCCTCAGTAACAAATTCTCAGGTTTAAGACATTGTTTAATTCATGTATTAAACTCAGAATAGTCTTCACAAATAAATAAATAATAACTTTCATACATGATTTCTTTCCCTTTTAACTCCCACAAAAAACTGCCTGAAAGAGATGAAAGAAAAACCTACCCAAGAATTAAACATGTCCACAAATCTACAGAAGATAAAACAAGATCACAGTAACATATTTTTGACAACACAATAAAGCAAAAAAAATGACACTTATACCTCTCATGTATTCCATTGGTTTTCTTGTTTTGTTTACACATCAAATGAAACAGTTGCCAGAGACAAAAGATACTTGGCTCCCAAAACGTTCCATTCACACGGATTTGAATATAAGGGTATTTATATACATGATATATTGTTTCAATTGTTGGGAACATAATTTCTGAACAGGTCATTGAAATGGACAAAATATGCAGTTTGGATAATAATGGGAACCTTTAGGTAATGAAAATAAATGGTCAAAATATTGTTTCTAAAATGACCACTTTTATTAGGATTTCTTTATGAACTGCCTATTGTTTCTCATTAGGAAGAAAAATTCAAACTTCGTGGTAACCATGGCAACAGAGTTTTGACAAGGAATGATAACTCTTACTCTAAAATCAAGATATCGATATTAACAGAATTAGTATTATAAACAAATTTTTATAGCAGATCAAAAGCTCACTAAATTGATCACTTGAAATGTTTTTTTCAAAAGCAAGTTTCAAATGACCTGCTTGATGAAGAGGAATATTCCATAAATTTCTCATTATCTTATGTTTCAAATACTAAAATTTCTTGGCTATCGGAACGCACTATCTTCAGAGAGGATGAACATAGCTTTCACACTTCAACAGGAACGATAGTTTGGTCTCTGATCAGTCAGATTTGCTTTTGGCCTCCAAGGCCTTCAACCTCTCCAGCAATGGAGGATGAGAGTAGTGCCATGTGGAGAACAGCCAATCAGAAACAGGGAAACCTAGATTGTCTTTATTGAGCTTGATGAGTGCTGATTTCAGGGCTGTGGCTCGGTGTAGGGTTTTAGCGAACGCATCTGCTTGGAACTCGAAGGTTCTGCTCAGCATTGTCATGCAGAACGATAAAACCTGGAACACAACAAATATACATACTTATATCAGCTGGAACATGAGTTTTCGCTCACAGTTATCTCCCCTGTATCCAAAATGGCGATGACTGACCATGCTTTATAAACTTTGCTTAAGTATGTAGAAAATAGGATCTGCATGTACAATCAGTGTCAATGTTGTCCAACACTTTAGACTTTGCCAACACATAGCTCTAAGACAGAAGGTATTATGTTCACTTCATGAGATCATGTGAGGTGAGGTGAAATGGGGTTTAACGTCGCATCCAAGATTATTGCACTTATATAGCGACGTGCATGCACGTGTGTGTGTTTGTGTGGCTGCTTATACTAGTCCGGACTGATGCCAATTTATAGTGCTAGCTCACTGAGATACCATGCCGCAGTTTAACATGAATACCCCACTCAGACACAGTATACTGACTCCGAGCCGACCAGTCCTTGTTTTAGCCCCTTAATGCCGAACGCCAGACAGGGTAACAACAAGTACCATCTTTTAACGTCCTTTGGTATGACGCGGCCGGGGATCGAACCCCGGACCTTCCGCCATGAGATCATGTATCAATACAACATGATACAAGAAATAAAGAAGGACTTTTAAAATGGTATTCAGAGTAGTTGCAAAATACAAGGCAACAATGCAGTTTCCCGGGCACAGCCCCTGCTCGACCATCCGTTCAATTACCGCGCTAAAGTGCGTCCCTGTCTCGCTATACCGTTACCGTGCCTCAAGCTCTGGTGACTCTCGCTACACGACCCAAAACCCATTTTCGGTCTTAGGGAAACTTGCACGTCTTTACGATTTCACACCCCTTTTCGGTCTTAGGGAAACTTACATGTCTTTACGATCCCACACCCCTTTTGGGTCTCAGGGAAACTTACACATCTTTACGATCCCACACTCCTTTTTGGTCTTAGGGAAACTTACACGTCTTTAAGATCCCACACCCCTTTTCGGTCTTAGGGAAACTGACACGTCTTTACAATCCCACACCCTTTTTCGGTCCTTAGGGTTAGCTTGCTTTGGGCAAGGGTTAGCCATAAATTCTTACCTTTTCAAGGGTTAATCCGGTTAATCTGATTGGTCGGTCTTGTTGACATAAACAATGGCGGGTGTGGTTTCAAGAAAAGATGAATGGGAGGTTGGACTGTGATGTCACACGCATGCACAATTGATTGTTTACTGAATTATGCATGTGTGTTAAGGGGGTGCTAAACAAGCACTGATTACATGTGATAGCGCTCGTGGTCCAGTGGTAGAGCGTCGGGTAATTAAAGCATTAATTAGCCAAGGCGGTGACCCGCCGAAGCGTGTCCAAGCCCCCACAGCACTAATTGGATCTGAAAAAGTGTGCCCGGTAAAGTGCACTACTCCCAAATGCAATTTAATGATGCCTAACAACCAAACACTTGACATCATTTTACTGTCCCCAAGTAGAGAAGAAACCAATCACAATGTGTGTTAATGACTTTAAGAAATACATCATATATGTCTTCCAATCAACATGCTTCATGGGAATCACATCCTTTGTCAGTAATATACAGATAGTTTAAAGAACAAATAATTTATAAAACATCAAATGAATCTTTTTGACTGTTTCTTGCATGAAAAGGAAAGTTAGTGAAGAATGCAAACAATATTCTTCAATCGAACTACTATTACGCCATATTACAACATGAAAGTTTATGTCCTCAGTCTTGATGTTGTCAATTTTTGCTAGCTCTTAAATTTCAAAAGTAGGGTCACTATCATTACTGTCATGACACTAAACAGGTTAAGTATCGTCACTCACATTAATTTGGTGACGCATTAATTTCATGATTTGCAGAAAACGACTAAATCACTGTAAATAAGTAATCAACCGCTGACATTCTCTCCACAATTTGAGGGGCGGTTGGGTAGCCTAGTGGTTAAAGCGTGAGCTCGTCACGCCGAAGACCCGGGTTTGATTCCCGACATGGGTACAATGTGTAAAGCCCATTACTGGTGTCCCCCGTCGTGATATTGCTGGAATATTGCTAAAAGCGGCGTAAAACCTCACTCACTCACTCACTCTCCACAATTTGAGAATATGCAGGTGTGCAGTTTTCTAAGGAGCTGCAATTTTGCTGTGCTGAATTGTCCCCCTTGCCCATGCCAGGATCAGGATCCCAGAGTCACTCAGACTATGACATATGATTACCATGCTTATTCTTATAGATTTCATTGAAGTGATAAACAAAGTTGTGATTGAAGAGTCCTGCATTTTGCTGATCTGGTTGATTTCACCAGAGTTACCTGGACTCACAGATTACAGACCTCACTATAAGACAAGTGTATTACCTCATTATAAGGAGAGAAGATGAACTGGAAGATGATGAACAGTCCGATGAGCTTGGGTTGTGTGTTGAAGCCGAACGCAAGGAACAGGTCCTTTCGGTTGATGAGCATGGCAAACACCATGAAACACAGGAACATGTTCACCTGCAACCATGGCAACCCCAAACACATTGCATTTAACAGATACAGTGATGTTGGCACAACAGCGTTAGGAACAGGACAAACTTATACAATGTTTCTCACAGGATATTTACAACATGTTAGGAACATGTACGTGGAAGTTTTGTTTTCAAGATGATCAATACTTTTTATTTTCCCTTGCAAAATATCTGGTTATGTAAGTGCAATATATGATCAGTCATATAGCCAAAACATAGCTAAGTGCAATGTATGACCAGTTATATAGCCAAAACATAGCTAAGTGCAATGTATGACCAGTTATATAGCCATGATTTAGCTAAGTGCAATGTATGACCAGTCACATAGACAAAACATAGCTAAGTGCAATGTATGATCAGTAAAATAGCCAAAACATAGCAAACTGCAATGTATGACCAGTTATGTAGCCTTGATATAGCTAAGTGCAATGTATCACCAGTTATAAAGCCAAAACATAGCTAAGTGCAATGTATGACCAGTCATGTAGCCAAAACATAGCTAAGTGCAATGTATGACCAGTTATGAAGCCATGATATAGCTAAGTGCAATGTATCACCAGTTATAAAGCCAAAACATAGCTAAGTGCAATGTATGACCAGTCATATAGTCAAAACATAGCTAACTGCAATGAATGACCAGTTATATAGCCATGACATAGCTAAGTGCAATGTATGACCAGTCATATAGACAAAACATAGCTAAGTGCAATGTATGACCAGTAAAATAGCCATAACATAGCTAACTGCAATGTATGACCAGTTATGAAGCCATGATTTAGCTTAGTGCAATGTATGACCAGTCATATAGACAAAACATAGCTAAGTGCAATGTATGACCAGACATATAGCCAAAACATAGCTAAGTGCAATGTATGACCAGTTAAATAGCCATGATTTAGCTTAGTGCTATGTATGATCAGTCATATAGACAAAACATAGCTAAGTGCAATGTATGACCAGTAAAATAGCCATAACATAGCTAAGTGCAATGTATGACCAGTTATATAGACAAAACATAGCTTAGTGCAATATATGACCAGTCATAAAGGCAAAACATGGCTAAGTGCAATGTATGACCAGTTATATAGCCATGATATAGCTTAGTGCAATGTATGACCAGTTACATAGCCAAAACATAGCTAAGTGCAATGTATGACCAGTCAAATAGCCATAACATAGCTAAGTGCAATGTATGACCAGTTATATAGCCATGATATAGCTAAGTGCAATGTATGACCAGTTATATAGACAAATCATAGCTAAGTGCAATGTTTGTCCAGTCATATAGCCAAAACATAGCTAAGTGCAATGTATGACCAGTAAAATAGCCATAACATAGCTAAGTGCAATGTATGACCAGTCATACAGCCAAATTATAGCTAAGTGCAATGTATGACTAGTCATATAGTCATGACATAGCTTAGTGCAATGTATGACCAGTAAAATAGCCATATCATGGCTAAGTGCAATGTATGACCAGTTATAAAGCCAAAACATAGCTAAGTGCAATGTATGACCAGTTATATAGCCATGATATAGCTAAGTGCAATGTATGACCAATCATATAGCCAAAACATAACTAAGTGCAATGTATGACCATTTATATAGCCATGACATTTCTAAGTGCAATGTATGACCAGTCATATAGCCATGACATAGCTAAGTGCAATGTATGACCAGTTATATTGCCACAACATAGCTAAGTGCAAGGTATGATCAGTTATATAGCCATGACATAGCTAAGTGCAATGTATGACCAGTTATATTGCCACAACATAGCTAAGTGCAATGTATGACCAGTCATATAGCCATGACATAGCTAAGTGCAATGTATGACCAGTCATATAGCCATGACATAGCTAAGTGCAATGTATGACCAGTTATATTGCCACAACATGGCTAAGTGCAAGGTATGATCAGGTCTGTAGTGATATGCTTCACATTAGACAGCCAGCACAGACACTGGACACATCTATGACCTACCTGTGAAATGATGAGATTTTTTAGGTTATGGCTGAGTTTCCAGTGGCCCAGTTCATGAGAAAGGACAGCTAACACTTCCTCATCATTACAGCCCTGCTTCCTCTTCTCCTTCTTCTCTGTCTCCTCCTCTTTCTTCTCATTCTCCTCATCCGATTCCTCCTTGGTCTGGCAACACAAGAGGTACACAGTGGAAAAATAAAGCACTATCCAGATGCACACAGTGTAAATACAAGGCATAATACCAGATGTGCACAGTGTAAATACAAGGCACCAGATGTGCACAGTGTAAATACAAGGCACCAGATGTGCACAGTGTAAATACAAGGCATAATACCAGATGCACACAGTGTAAATACAAGGCACCAGATGTGCACAGTGTAAATACAAGGCACCAGATGTGCACAGTGTAAATACAAGGCATAATACCAGATGCACACAGTGTAAATACAAGGCATCAGATGTACACAGTGTAAATACAAGGCATCAGATGTACACAGTGTAAATACAAGGCATCAGATGCACACAGTGTAAATACAAGGCATCAGATGCACAGAGTGTAAATACAAGGCATCAGATGCACACAGTGTAAATACAAGGCATCAAAATGTACACAGTGTAAATACAAGGCATCAGATGCAATCAGTGTAAATACAAGGCACCAGATGCACACAGTGTAAATACAAGGCATCAGATGCACACAGTGTAAATACAAGGCATCAAAATGCACACAGTGTAAATACAAGGCATCAGATGCACACAGTGTAAATACAAGGCACCAGATGCACACAGTGTAAATACAAGGCATCAGATGCACACAGTGTAAATACAAGGCATCAAAATGCACACAGTGTAAATACAAGGCATCAAAATGCACACAGTGTAAATACAAGGCATCAGATGCACACAGTGTAAATACAAGGCATCAGATGCACACAGTGTAAATACAAGGCATAAGATGCACACAGTGTAAATACAAGGCATCAGATGCACACAGTGTAAATACAAGGCATCACATGTACACAGTGTAAATACAAGGCATCAAAATGCACACAGTGTAAATACAAGGCATCAAAATGCACACAGTGTAAATACAAGGCATCAAAATGCATACAGTGTAAATACAAGGCATCAAAATGCACACAGTGTAAATACAAGGCATCAAAATGCACACAGTGTAAATACAAGGCATCAAAATGCACACAGTGTAAATACAAGGCATCACATGTACACAGTGTAAATACAAGGCATCAAAATGCACACAGTGTAAATACAAGGCGTCAAAATGCACACAGTGTAAATACAAGGCATCAAAATGCACACAGTGTACATGCACGGAAGAAAACTACAAGATCCTTCTTCCTCATAAACTCCCTCACCTCAGCATCCCCTGCAGCTGCCTCTTCCGCCTTCTTCCTCTCTTCCTCTTTTTTCTCTTCCTCCTTCTTCCTCTCTTCCTCCGACTTGTAACCCTCCAGGAGGGTGTCGAACAACACAATTCGCTTGTTCTTGAAGAATCCATAGAAGTAGGCATTGCTGTGAGAGGAACGCTTGGAACCTGCAAGATTATACAGATGGCTCCAGATAAATCTTTAGTCTTTGAGTATTTACTCGGAGACTATGCTTGTCGTAAGAGGCGACTAACGGGATCGGGTGGTCAGACTCGCTGACTTGGTTGATGCATGTCATCGACCCCAACTGTGTGGATCGATGCTCATGATATTAATCACTGGATTGTCTGGTCCAGACTAGATTATTTACAGACCGCCATCATATGGCTGGAATATTGCTGAGTGTGGTGTTAAACAACAAACCAACCAAGTATTTACTGACATGCATCATTGCAGTTGAGTTTAACACCGTTTTGAACAGTGTTCTAGTTATATCACGGTGTTTCAGCTTAATGTGGGAGGAAAGTCCAAAAAGTTTAGATGTTTACCACTTTGGAGAAACCAATGAGCATGGGTATGGTGCTGACAAGCCAAGAAAGACAATCAGGGTGCATCTAGGATTCGAACTCACAATTACAGGTTTCAGGGCAGACAAGGGATGTGAATGGCAGTGCCTTAGGCTACATACTTTCAACAACAATGGGAGACATACCTTATAACAGAGGGACATACTTTATAACAGAGAGACATACCTTCACCAACATAGAGACATACCTTCACCAACATAGAGAGACATACCTTCAACAACATAGAGACATACCTTCAACAACATAGAGACATACCTTCACCAACATAGAGAGACATACCTTCAACAACATAGAGAGACATACCTTCAACAACATAGAGACATACCTTCACCAACATAGAGAGACATACCTTCAACAACATAGAGACATACCTTAAACAACATAGAGAGACATACCTTCACCAACATAGAGAGACATACCTTCAACAATATAGAGACATACCTTCACCAACATAAAGACATACCTTCACCAACATAGAGACATACCTTCAACAACATAGAGACAAACCTTCACCAACATAGAGAGACATACCTTCACCAACATGGAGACATACCTTCAACAACATAGAGACATACCTTCAACAACATAGAGAGACATACCTTCAACAACATAGAGAGACATACCTTCACCAACATAGAGAGACATACCTTCAACAACATAGAGAGACATACCTTCAACAACATAGAGAGACATACCTTCAACAACATAGAGAGACATACCTTCAACAATATAGAGAGACATACCTTCAACAACATAGAGACATACCTTCAACAACATAGAGACATACCTTCAACAACATAGAGAGACATACCTTCAACAACATAGAGAGACATACCTTCAACAACATAGAGACATACCTTCAACAATATAGAGAGACATACCTTCACCAACATAGAGACATACCTTCACCAACATAGAGAGACATACCTTCAACAACATAGAGAGACATACCTTCACCAACATAGAGAGACATACCTTCAACAACATAGAGACAAACCTTCACCAACATAGAGAGACATACCTTCAACAATATAGAGAGACATACCTTCAACAACATAGAGAGACATACCTTCAACAACATAGAGAGACATACCTTCAACAACATAGAGAGACATACCTTCATCAACATAGAGAGACATACCTTCACCAACATGGAGACATACCTTCACCAACATAGAGAGACATACCTTCACCAATATGGAGACATACCTTCACCAATATGGAGACATACCTTCACCAACATAGAGACACATACCTTCACCAACATAGAGAGACATACCTTCACCAATATGGAGAGACATACCTTCACCAATAGAGACATACCTTCACCAACATAGAGAGACATTCCTTCACCAACATAGAGAGACATACCTTCACCAACATAGAGAGACATACCTTCACCAACATAGAGACATACCTTCACCAACATAGAGAGACATACCTTCAACAACATAGAGACACATACCTTCACCAACATAGAGAGACATACCTTCACCAATAGAGAGACATACCTTCACCAATAGAGAGACATACCTTCACCAACATAGAGAGACATACCTTCAACAACATAGAGACACATACCTTCACCAACATAGAGAGACATACCTTCACCAATAGAGAGACATACCTTCACCAATAGAGAGACATACCTTCACCAACATAGAGAGACATACCTTCACCAACATAGAGAGACATACCTTCACCAACATAGAGAGACATACCTTCACCAACATAGAGAGACATACCTTCACCAACATAGAGAGACATACCTTCAACAATATAGAGACATACCTTCACCAACATAGAGAGACATACCTTCACCAACATAGAGACATACCTTCAACAACATAGAGAGACATACCTTCACCAACATAGAGAGACATACCTTCAACAACATAGAGAGACATACCTTCAACAATATAGAGAGACATACCTTCAACAACATAGAGACATACCTTCAACAACATAGAGAGACATACCTTCAACAACATAGAGAGACATACCTTCAACAATATAGAGAGACATACCTTCAACAACATAGAGACATACCTTCATCAACATAGAGAGACATACCTTCACCAACATAGAGACATACCTTCACCAATAGAGAGACATACCTTCACCAACATAGAGAGACATACCTTCACCAATATGGAGAGACATACCTTCAACAACATAGAGAGACATACCTTCACCAATATGGAGACTTACCTTCAACAACATAGAGCTTCTTGAGAGGGAAAGAGATGCTGTCGGCCAATTTCTCGATCTGATCCCGCAGTGGCCCGTCAGGGAGGGGGGTAAACTTGTCAAATAGCGGCGCGATATAGTCAGCATAGATGGTGATAAGCATCTGAAACACAAAAAACACATGGAGTGGTATTAAACCAACAGATTTCTGTGATGGGACTTGAACCATGGACATTCTGACCTGAGGTCAGAGGCGCCTTTTTTCACCTTGTCCACATGTCCAAACAGGGTCGATCGGGTAGCCTAGTGGTTAAAGCGTGCGCTCGTCACGCCGAAGGCCCAGGTTCGATTCCCAACATGGGTACAGTGTGTGAAGCCTATTTCTGGTGTCACCCGCCGTGATATTGCTGGAATATTGCTAAAAGCGGCGTAAAACCATACTCACTCACCCACTCACTCACATGTCCAAACAGGTGTTTGCATGCTGACAGAGTAAGGATGTCATCTGTGGGATGACCGGGTGCCCTGCTTCACTTCCATCAACAGTCTCCCATTCTCAGCTCTAGGACAGCACCTTATAACACATTCTCAATCATCCAGCTTTTCGTATCTTATTCTATTTTAAAAAATACCCTGGACCCATTCGCCATCATACTAGGGCTGGGAAGGGTAACACGGGTATTCAGGTTGAGTGGGTACTGAGCAGAACCTGGGTACCCACAGGACTACCCAGACCCGTGGTTAGTCACGTGATATATTGTTTAATGACAAGAGTGAGTGAGTGAGTGAGTGAGTGAGTGAGTGAGTGAGAGAGACACCAGAAATGGGCTTCACACATTGTACCCATGTCGGGAATCGAACGAGGGTCCTCGCTGTGACGAGCGAATGCTTTAACCAATAGGCTACCCAACCGCCCCTTAATGACAAGAATTTACTATAACTTCATGGTTACACTACAAGTGACTAATGATCACATTTCGTTCTGAATATGCCCTCTTAAACAAAAAGCTACATAGAAATTCATTCACAAATGATGTTTCTCTTCAAAATTGATTGACGAAATGGCAGAAAAGCAGGATTTTTTTCACACATTGTTATCTCCCTTGTATCCATGGCTACAAAATGGCGGCGACTCTAAATCAGATCTGCATGTACAATCAGTGTCAATCACTTTGGTTTCCAATATATTCCCATAGAATTTTTTTGGTCAATACACAGCCCTACTTCTGAATGCGAGTTCAGCATACAGCTACCCGGGTACATCTAAACATGTGGCATCTCATGAACGAGCCCATGATGCTTTAACCAAGGGGAAGGGAGGGAAGTCAAAATGCTGTCAGACATTCCCACTCGTACTGAAGACGGTGTGCAACAAGTACTGGAGACATCGCTGATTATTTCAAGAGAAAGAGGGCATAGCCAGCCATTATGTGTGTTAGGGACTGACCAGTTGATACTCTGGTGGGGCCTGGGATTTTGAGTCAAGAATAGATATGTTTTCAGATACAGAAAGAAAACCAGATATCATACTCTCAAACCAAATGTTTTTAAAAATTATTTGAGAGTATATTGACTAATGACAAGAAACCTTTGTATTCTCTGCAGGACCGCAAAGTTATTAATAGAATGTGTATCATTGGTCATTTTAAAGTGCACAGACTCAAAACATTACAGGGTTATCACGGTTGCCCAGAGGTAAAGAGCTATGCAGTAACCTGCAGTCAATATTTGCAACAGCAAGGTCTTATACTGGACTGACTGACCAGTGAGACGATGAGGGTGAAGAGCCAGGCATAGATGAAGAAGTAGTCTCCGCCAGCTTTGATGATGTAGACGAGGGAGGCGGTGATGGGCAGAGTGATCAACTGCATCACTACAAACTTCTTGGCCTGATCCTTGAAGAAGAAACCCAGAGTCTGAAACAGAAAAAGACTGAATTAGGTCTAACTACGATTAATTTGTTTGTTGGTTGGTTTACAGATTTGCCTACATGAAAAATAGCAACATGTAACTAAAATGACTCTCTGAAAAATATTTTGATACCAACTCTAATGGAATAAAAAACATAAATTTATATAAGATAAGTTTCTCAATTAGTCAGTGTTGAGTGAGTGGGTGAGTGAGTATGGTTATACACCCCTTTCAGCAATATTCCAACAATATCAAGGCGAGGGACACCAGAAATGGGCTTCACACACTGTACCCATGTGGGGAATCGAACCCGGGTCTTCGGCGTGACGAGTGAATGCTTAAACCACTAGGCTACCCCACTGTCTCTAGTCAGTGTTGAAGAAAAGGAATCATTGTGAACTACAAAATAAAATGTTTGAAGTGATGTGGACCTGTATGAATTTAATCTTTTTAATAGGTCATATTCGGTTGCGCGTTCATGTGCATCAAAAGTACAGTTAAGGGGAAATAAATTCAGTGAAATTCACAAAGTTATTTGAGATATGTTCACTTGGTGACACCTTCTTTCTGATCACCGACATTGTAAGAACAAAACAAAATTCTGTAAACCAACATAAACAAATTAATTGGCTTAGCCTGAATTAAGCATAAGTGAGTGAGTGAGTGAGTGAGTATGGTTTTACGCCGCTTTTAGCAATATTCCAGCAATATCACGGCGGGGGTCACCAGAAATGGGCTTCACACATTGTATCCATGTCGGGAATCGAACCTGGGTCTTCGGCGTGACGAGCGAACGCTTTAACCACTAGGTACCCGACTGCCCTGAATTAAGTATGAGGCTATCAAGGTTGATGTGTGACATGTGCCGTGTATGACATTCACACATTACCTGCACTAATTAGCATTAATTGATGGACATTTGCTTACCTGTTTGTTGAAGCCATGCTTTTCTTCAACAACAAATGTACTGTACAAGCTCCATGGTAGAGAGGTGAAGGTCGAATACAGCATCCAAATGATGGTGAACACCACTGACTGTAGGATCTGAAGTACAGAACACATAGGATGGTGAACACAATGACTGTAGGATCTGAAGTACAGAATTCATAGGATGGTGAACACAATGACTGTAGGATCTGAAGTACAGAATTCATAGGATGGTGAACACAATGACTGTAGGATCTGAAGTACAGAATTCATAGGATGGTGAACACAATGACTGTAGGATCTGAAGTACAGAATTCATAGGATGGTGAACACACTGACTGTAGGATCTGAAGTACAGAACACAAAGGATGGTGAACATCACTGATTGAAGCATCTGAAGTACAGAATTCATAGGATGGTGAACACAATGACTGTAGGATCTGAAGTACAGAATTCATAGCATGGTGAACACATTGACTGTAGGATCTGAAGTACAGAATTCATGGGATGGTGAACACACTGACTGTAGCATCTGAAATACACAGGATTGTCAACACCACTGACTGTAGGATCTGAAGTACAGAATTCATGGTATGGTGAACACAATGACTGTAGGATCTGAAGTACAGAATTCATGGGATGGTGAACACAATGACTGTAGGATCTGAAGTACAGAATTCATGGGATGGTAAACACCATTGACTGTAGGATCTGAAGTACAGAATTCATGGGATGGTGAACACACTGACTGTAGGATCTGAAGTACAGAATTCATGGGATGGTGAACACAATGACTGTAGGACCTGAAGTACAGAATTCATGGGATGGTGAACACACTGACTGTAGGATCTGAAGTACAGAATTCATGGGATGGTGAACACATTGACTGTAGGACCTGAAGTACAGAATTCATGGGATGGTGAACACACTGACTGTAGGATCTGAAGTACAGAATTCATGGGATGGTGAACACAATGACTGTAGGATCTGAAGTACAGAATTCATGGGATGGTGAACACATTGACTGTAGGATCTGAAGTACAGAATTCATAGGATGGTGAACACACTGACTGTAGGATCTGAAGTACAGAACACATACGATGGTGAACACCATTGACAGTCGGACCTGAAATACACAGGATTGTCAACACCACTGACTGAAGGATCTGAAATACATAGTATGGTGAACACACTGACTGTAGGATATGAAGTACAGAATTCATGGGATGGTGAACACATTGACTGTAGGATCTGAAGTACAGAATTCATGGGATGGTGAACACACTGACTGTAGGATCTGAAGAACAGAACACATACGATGGTGAACACCATTGACAGTCGGACCTGAAATACACAGGATTGTCAACACCACTGACTGAAGGATCTGAAATACATAGCACGGTGAAAACAATGACTGTAGGATCTGAAATACATAGGATGGTGAAGACACTGACTGTAGCATCTGAATTACGTAGGATGGTGAACACAATGATGGTAGGACCTGAGATACACAGGAAGGTGAACACACTGACTGTAGGATCTGAATTTCGTAGGATGGTGAACACACTGACTGTAGGATCTGAAGTACAGAATACATAGCATGGTGAACACAATGACTGTAGGATCTGAAATACATAGGATGGTGAAGAGACTGATGGTAGCATCTGAATTACGTAGGATGGTGAACACAATGACTGTAGGACCTGAGATACACAGGAAGGTGAACACACTGACTGTAGGATCTGAAGTACAGAATACATAGCATGGTGAACACAATGGCTGTGGGACCTGAATTATGTCGGATGGTGAACACACTGACTGTAGCATCTGAAATACGTAGGATGGTGAACACACTGACAGTAGAAGCTGATTAATCTAAAATGTATCAGTAAATCCTCTTACCTCGTAGTCTGCTCCATATCCGTGTCTGGCCATCATCCCTCCTGCTAATGACCACACGAAGGGCATCCCCCCAAACACCAGGATCAACTACAACAAGGAAAACACTGCATAAGTCAAGTATTCTCCATCTTTTCCATCTTTCCGGTACTTCACAATCCCAACCTGAGCATGAAGCGGTTGGTCCTGCAGGAATGATGGGACATGAGAAGCCAGACTCAAAACTTACTGTGACTCAATCTGTGAGTACATGTCTGACACAAAGATGGAGGACTCTAAACTTACTGTGACTCAATCTGTCAGTACATGTCTGACACAAAGATGGAGGACTCTAGACTTACTGTGACTCAATCTGTGAGTACACGTCTGACACAAAGATGGAGGACTCTAGACTTACTGTGACTCAATCTGTGAGTACACGTCTGACACAAAGATGGAGGACTCTAACCTTACTGTGACTCAATCTGTGAGTACACGTCTGACACAAAGATGGAGGACTCTAGACTTACTGTGACTCAATCTGTGAGTACATGTCTGACACAAAGATGGAGGACTCTAGACTTACTGTGACTCAATCTGTGAGTACACGTCTGACACAAAGATGGAGGACTCTAAACTAACTGTGACTCAATCTGTCAGTACACATCTGACACAAAGATGGAGGACTCTAAACTTACTGTGACTCAATCTGTGAGTACACGTCTGACACAAAGATGGAGGACTCTAGACTTACTGTGACTCAATCTGTGAGTACACGTCTGACACAAAGATGGAGGACTCTAGACTTACTGTGACTCAATCTGTGAGTACACGTCTGACTCAAAGATGGAGGACTCTAGACTTACTGTGACTCAATCTGTGAGTACATGTCTGACACAAAGATGGAGGACTCTAAACTTACTGTGACTCAATCTGTGAGTACACGTCTGACACAAAGATGGAGGACTCTAAACTTACTGTGACTCAACCTGTGAGTACACGTCTGACACAAAGATGGAGGACTCTAAACTTACTGTGACTAAATCTGTGAGTACACGTCTGACACAAAGATGGAGGACTCTAGACTTACTGTGACTCAATCTGTGAGTACACGTCTGACACAAAGATGGAGGACTCTAGACTTACTGTGACTCAATCTGTGAGTACATGTCTGACACAAAGATGGAGGACTCTAAACTAACTTTGACTCAATCTGTCAGTACACATCTGACACAAAGATGGAGGACTCTAGACTTACTGTGACTCAATCTGTGAGTACATGTCTGACACAAAGATGGAGGACTCTAAAGTAACTTTGACTCAATCTGTCAGTACACATCTGACACAAAGATGGAGGACTCTAGACTTAATGTGACTCAATCTGTTAGTATACGTCTGACCCAAAAATGGAGGACTCTAGACTTAATGTGACTCAATCTGTTAGTACAAGTCTGACCCAAAGATGGAAGACTCTAGACTTACTGTTGACTCAATCTGAGAGTACACGCCTGACACAAAGATGGAGGACTCTAGACTTACTGTTGACTCAATCTGAGAGTACACGTCTGACACAAAGATGGAGGACTCTAAACTAACTGTGACTCAATCTGTGAGTACACGTCTGACACAAAGATGGAGGACTCTAAACTTACTGTGACTCAATCTGTCAGTACACGTCTGACACAAGATGGAGGACTCTAAACTAACTGTGACTCAATCTGTGAGTACACGTCTGACACAAAGATGGAGGACTCTAAACTAACTGTGACTTAATCTGTGAGTACACGTCTGACACAAAGATGGAGGACTCTAGACTTACTGTGACTCAATCTGTGAGTACATGTCTGACCCAAAGGTGGAGGACTCTAAACTAACTTTGACTCAATCTGTCAGTACACATCTGACACAAAGATGGAGGACTCTAGACTTACTGTTGACTCAATCTGAGAGTACACGCCTGACACAAAGATGGAGCACTCTAGAATTACTGTTGACTCAATCTGAGAGTACACGCCTGACACAAAGATGGAGGACTCTAAACTAACTTTGACTCAATCTGTGAGTACACGTCTGACACAAAGATGGAGGACTCTAAACTTACTGTGACTTAATCTGTGAGTACACGTCTGACACAAAGATGGAGGACTCTAGACTTACTGTGACTCAATCTGTGAGTACATGTCTGACCCAAAGGTGGAGGACTCTAAACTAACTTTGACTCAATCTGTCAGTACACATCTGACACAAAGATGGAGGACTCTAGACTTACTGTTGACTCAATCTGAGAGTACACGCCTGACACAAAGATGGAGCACTCTAGACTTACTGTTGACTCAATCTGAGAGTACACGCCTGACACAAAGATGGAGGACTCTAGACTTACTGTTGACTCAATCTGAGAGTACACGTCTGACACAAAGATGGAGGACTCTAGACTTACTGTTGACTCAATCAGAGAGTACACGTCTGACACAAAGATGGAGCACTCTAGACTTACTGTTGACTCAATCTGAGAGTACACGTCTGACACAAAGATGGAAGACTCTAGACTTACTGTTGACTCAATCTGAGAGTACACGTCATGATAGAAGCTGAAGTTGCTCTTGTCCAGCTGATATACCCGAGCTTTCTCAAATGTCTCGACATCTAGCACATTTTCCAAAGCACTTGGCACCTTTGTGGCTGTCTTGTAGACATTCCTCTGAAAATAACATAATATTTGACTTACGAATAGGTGACGTGAAATGGGAACTAATAGCTTGTCCAAGATTATTGCTTTTATGTCGTGAGTACCACCTTTCAACGTCTTTTGGTATGACGCAGTCAAGGGATTGATCCACTGACCTGACCATACGCTAAGTGAGTGAATGAGTGAGTATTGTTTTACACCGTTTTTAGCAATATTCCAGCAATATCATAGCAGGGGACAACAGAATTGGGCTTCACATATTGTACCCATGTCGGGAATTGAACCGAGGATTGACGTGACGAGCTAACATTTTAACCACTAGGCTACCCGACCACCCCCCATACGCTGAGATGCAGAAAGGTCTGAAGGAGTTTAGTTGTGTTGCTGGAATTATCCTGTTTGTCTTTTGGTTGGTTTAGCTTCTTTACTGAAAAGATCCATCTCAAAAGAGTTATGTAGCTCACCTAGCATGAATATACCAATCATAAACATGACACACCCAGATGCCATGATTTATCCCATTGAATTTAATATTTACATTAATATTTTGATTAATTTTTTAAAATAAATTACCATGATGACAACAAACTGTGCAAAATATATCCACCTTCAGTGATGCCTCTGGACATGATATCCAAGTAAGTATGCACATGGAAATTCCAAGTCAAGGGGGTTTATCATGCATAAAAGACCTGTCATTTGTCTTGTAGTAGTCTTAGGACTGTATCATATTCTGGTGCCCCCTCCATTTAATGTATCATTTTTTTAGGAATAACAAATTTTGGTGACTCCACTCCCACCATCCCCTAATCCACCCATCTCGCCCACCCGTCTTTCCGCTATATTGAATGATCAGTTAGTTACTGCAGACAGTTGATTCAGTCTGTCAGGCCGAATGGCCCATAAAGTATAGAACGTAGTACTAGACCTAAGTAAATCATAAATAGTCAGTGATTTTGTGATACATAGTTACCGAAAACACATGTCTGAGAAGCTGGCTACAGATTTTACCTCTAATCACATGGATGTTTGGAAAAATTGCGACCAGTCATTAATAAATCGACGATCTTTATGCTCATAACAACCAGTCTGACATTTATTTTTAGGTATCTTTTCGAAATCAATATATATATCATGAAAGTTCTATACGAAGGGAAATCAATGGAGAACCTGACGGGGAAGTACATGCCTCTGGGATACCTGATTCTCCACATCCGACGAAACAGGAAATGTTTAACATTATGTTATGTATTGATAACTACCGGTAACCAGCTGCTATCCAACATTGATCATATAATGATGAGTTTGTTAGATTATGCGATAACACAAGAGATTCCAAGATGAACACTAGCAAAGAGGTGATTTACGCGTGAATAGATATTTCCTCAAACAAACATGATATTGATCATGTTGATTAAAGATGTTCAATCCTTTGTAAAGACGCAGTGAAGCGCCTGTAAAAGACAGGCGCACGCACTGGTATCCGGCATGCGTTCATTTTTTCCGCGGCACATGTTTTGTGTTTCTGTTTTGATTTACAAAGTATAAAATGTATTTTACCTGTCGAGATGAAAGATATGTTTCCCATAGGTAAACAAGCCACAGGAAACAAACAACTGATTGAAATATGAGCGTCTCGTTCAGTTCCATGATTAGTCAACAGATATGGAAACATACATGAGAGTTGTCTGCCCATAAGGGAGACAATTTATAGACCTGACTTCTTTTGATTACCACTAAAATGTTTGCTTAACTGTTTTCAGGATCTCAATATTAGTTCTTATATTATATTTATATATCAGGTATATTAGGTATATTATGTATAGCCTCTGCGATTCTGGATGATAGATTATTTAAATTGGTGTTAAAGAAAAATAGGCAGCGAAATGAATAAGAAAGAGGAAAGAAAAAAATAATGAATAATGTAAATCTAGATTCTGATCTAAATCCACTGATCATTAAACATCTAAATGATTGACATTAAAAAATAAAATTTTGCAAGAGTGTTTGTCCGATTCAACAACCTAAAACTACAATAATCGTGAGTCAGATACAAATTGTACGAAATATGATACAATACTAAATGAAGTACTCTCTGATCACTGATCACTGATCTGATCTGATTTGATTGACCCACAAATAACAAATGATATTAAAACGTTACTAGGCTGAAAACAAGCGCCGAAACACTGCAAACGTAAGGTTGGTTGGTTTGGAGTTTAACGCCGCACTCAGCAATATTCCAGCTATATGACGGCAGTCTGTAAATAACCGAGTCTGGACCAGACAATCAAGTGATTAATATCATGAGCATCGATCCACGCAATTGGGATCGATGACATGCATGAACCAAGTCAGCGAGCCTGACCACCCGATCCCGTTAGTCGCCTTTTACGGCAAGCATAGTCGCCTTTTACGGCAAGCATGGGTTGCTGAAGACGTCTTCTACCCGGATCTTCACGGGTCGCAAACGTAAGGTCCAAAACACAATTATGATTCCCGTATTAAATACATCACCATTGAATATTGTTTGTTTCACTTTTTGTTTCACATTTAACCCACACAAAAACGTGGTTGTATACTTTCGTTTGCCCGGCAGTTTATCTCATAGCCTTTAATGAAAATACTAGAATACCCAGGGAAATGTTTTTGAACATGAAACAAAAATAATATTTTGAAGAATATAAAATAGTTAACTGGAAACGAGCTTTGGAAAGATACTTTTCCGATCTGGAATCCCTGCATGGATTCGGACAAGAGGATCGACAGCGGATCCTGACATGCTGCCGATGGAGTTACGCGGCGTCTTAGGCCACACCCATACGGAACCTGAACAATACAGTTAATTGTTACATGAATGCAAACAGAAACTGACATAACTAGATAGGTCTCTAATATCTATTCAGATAAACTCAGTTTCCGTAGCGAAGCCAATCTGCCAACAGACGGAAATAGCCGAACGTGAGATTGTAGCGCCGCCGGAAGTTCCGTATCCATACATCATGGCGGACGTATCCAGGGAAGTGACGTCATAGACAGAGACCCTGAAGAAAGCGGCCGTAGATAGTTTTGTCTCATGATGATAACTTACGACGTGTCCGCACTGGCCGCGTCAGCATTATCTACACAGACGCTGAACAGGTAATGGTAGCCTAGTGGTTAAAGCGCTGGCCCGTCACACCGAAACCCGGGTTCTATTCCTTACATTGCTACAATGTCTGACGCCCACTGTTGAATGTCCCAAGCCGTGATATGGTTTCGAATATTTCCAAGCGGCGTGTGACCGAACTTATATAACAATGGTGTTGGTAACTGGTTAACACAAAGTCCTTGAAATTTTCATGTTTCGACTTATCCGTACTTCGATACTATCAGAGACCCGATATCAGGTCTTACCCACAAGAATTCTATTGGGGCCATCAGTGTGTTTAGTAGATGAAGTTTGAGCAGTCATTCATACAGTCCACAGAACATAAAGCATATATGTATCCGCATCTTATGAAACTTTCACCAAACCGCCCCCCGCCCGATTCCCCCATTCCATTCCATTCCCACCTCCCTTTCAGCTCTAGCATACGTGATCGAAGAACGGGGATGGAATAGGACTTCAGCAACCCATGCTTGCCGTTAAAGGCGGCTGTTCTTGTAGTGAGAGGCGACTAACGGGATCGGGTCGGAAGTCAGGCTCGCTGAAATTGGTTGATGCATGGATCGATCTTCCTGATATCAATCACTGGATTGTCTGTTCCGGACTCGATTATTTACAGGCCGCCGTCATGTAGGTGGAATATTGCTGAGTGCGGCGTTAAACAACAAACAAACAAACAAACAAACAAAATCAGCTCACACCCTCTCACCTCTAGCAGCTTCTACTTATCCGTATTTCAGCTCAAGTTTGAATGTAAAGGCTTGAGGTTTCTTTTATTTATTTTTTAAAAATTTAACGGAACACATAACGCGGCAACAGACAATGCAGGCCAATGTTTTTACATTTTTCTTGTTTTACACATTTAACTTTTTACACACTTTTATTTTAACTTTTCCCATTTGGAATTCATTAAAAAGCATGACATGTAGTACAGAAGATATGGGCGCGTAAAAGTTCTGTTTATGGGTTTTGGAAACTGTATGTGAGGTTGGAGTAAGCCAGGATTTACTGTGTCCGTCGAATAATGCATATATGTGGACGAGCGAATCATGTCAGCCATATTCCAGACAATCAAATTAAAATCAGATCTTAGTTCTCGCTACCGCTAAACAAAGATCTGAGGACATACCATTACGGGTCACGCCAGACCGACCTTTCGCGAACTTTGACCGACCTATGGATTGACTGACAAGAAGTTGACATTAGCCAATCAGAAGGCAGCTTGCTCATGCTTTACTTAGTCTCAAACTGGCGACTACTCTTCGAAATAGATTTTGACAAATTCCCGATTCAAAAATTGAAAACTGAACAAAGGAACATTTTGAAAAAAGCTAATAGTTGGACTAGATTGTATGGATTCAGTCCTAAAGACCGTAACTGTCGTTTGGAATACCCCTTCGAAGTTGCATGATACGAAATCAAATTACCCTGTGTCACTTTCCTGATCTGGTAAGCGACCCTCTGATTGGTCGGGTGAAAGGTCGTTCTGACGTGACCTGTAATGGGATGTCCTCAGATCTTTGTTTGGCGGTAGCGATACCTAAGATCTGATTTTAATGAGATTGTATTCCAGATGTCATTCTGCCTGTCAGTATTTAGGCCAAGATGAGGCAAACATGGGTCAATGGTAAGAGCAAAGACCCATTCCGCTAAGGTACGAAGACTCGTAGTCAACCAGGTCACACAACTTAGTGTTCATCGAAAATGAATTTTGAAAAAAAAGCAAGTGCAGGTTTTGGAAACCAAAATAGCCCCTCTCCAGATTCGAAAGCGAATCTTGAATAAGAATTTCAGATCGAAAACAATAGCAGGTTTAGGTTTTGGAAAGCAAAATGGCGCACCCTCGAAACAGCTACCAGTTTTCTATATTTGGATCCGAACACGTGACCAGCAGAGGCTGAGATATAGACACTCGACCATCCGTGCCCCGACATGCAAATAACTCAAGGAATATATAATATTACATTGGATGATGGTACATAATCAAACAGAGCATACAACTGAGATTTGGTGTTCCATGGTGGCCACCAAGTAAAGTGTATTTGTAGTCAGCCTCCATGGTGGTCACCAAGTAAAGTGTATTTGTAGTCAGCCTCCATTGTGACCACCAAGTAAAGCGTATTTGTAGTCAGCCTCTATTGTGACCACCAAGTAAAGTGTATTTGTAGTCAGCCTCTATTGTGGCCACCAAGTAAAGTAACCAGATCCACGTTTTGGTTTATCCAAGCACTGGGTATTGTTCTTATTACCACAATGAGCGATGCTCCCACATTCTACGATGAAGATAACCACTATACTTTCTGTAATCAGGAACCATGATTTTAACAGAACCGATCGCCCTACAATTCATGTTCTATATTTCAATACAAATTCAACCGTTTCAACACTAGTTTATTGCCAAATAGTTTTCATTTATTTTGCAGTTGTAATGGAATTAATATTTTGTTTTTAAAAACATAAGATGAATGAGTTAATCAAGGCTTGTTCCTTACAGTTATGCATTTCATTGCACAGTACTTTGTACTGTATTTACGTATTTGGTTATCTTAGGTTACAAAATTAGTTCTACAAGTTCTGTAGCTCATCTGAATTATGAAGAAACAATTTATGACTCTTCAGTCCGATTATGGCCACAAAGATCAATAGTGAGTTAGAAAAAATGGTGCCATAGATAAGAAAAAGTCCAACATTTTTTGCAATATTGTCTACAGCACTGAATTTGATTGATTGAGATATATCGAAAAAATATATTATCCCTGACAAATGCTTGAAAAAAACTATTATGCTTCAGACTGCCATAAAAAGACATTGTTGGAAGATGTCTTTGTTTTATAGCTTTAATAAATACAAAATATATATGTGGTTTTGCAGCTATAGCTGAAAATCAAAAGGCGAACACATAACGGTTGTTATAACGAAAAGATTTAAGATATTGTGTCTGTTACAGATTGCCCAGTCAACACTGCGGGGCCGCCATCCTTGAAACGTTTAAAGGTTTGCATAACACGATACGATTCGGTAGTCTGTTATTACAAAGACGTATTTTGGTTAATACAAGATTAAGCTAAGCCATTTTCAGGAGCTGCTGTTTTGAAATCAGTAAAAGGGAATATTCAGTCGAAAATAGAATTTCCTTGTTTGGCTTCCTCTACAGAACAGCAGGAGTAGCTAAAAAAGCGACCTTGGAATTATTTTTTTCAATATTGATTTTGCTTTAGAAAGATCATATTTAAACAATTATTACATTAGATATGTAATTTAGAGATGCATATTTTAAATATGTCGAGAGAAAAAAATAACATACATGCACGCAGACATACACAGCATTAAAAGAATAAGAATAATACAACGCATCATATGCCTGTTAAAAAGAGAGAGGTGTTTAAAAGTCTGCGCCAGGAAACAATATTCTAGGCTAGATACCCTGTCCTTCGCCTTCTAGCGGCTGCACAAAGCGAGGAGCGCAAGCGCTCTATGGCAGGCCAACCAGTCTCTCTTATGGACACACTTTACTTCAGAGGGGATGAGTTCCATAGGTGTTGCCACTGAGACAGAACCTTTTGCCAAAGTTGTTTTAATGTCGGGTACAATCGGTCGTAGTTCCTTCTCTCTCAAACTAACACGTGACCCAGACTCTGACCACTGGGCAAACCAGTCATGCGCAGTGGACATCGTGGAAAGCTCGTTCTGCCAAAGTTGTTTAATGTCTGGTACGATCAGTCGGTGGCTTTTGAAGAATACGGGCATATGTTATCCCTTTCATCAGTGAGGCTTGGTACAGCCAATTTTTCCAGTCTCGTTAGTTAATTCTGTCCATTCAAAACATACACTGTCTGCTCGACTAAAACTTAGTCCCCCAAAATAGATATCTTATTTAAAATCATATAACTACAAAATCAAATCCAAATGGAGCCCAGAACAATACTTAATTCTACGGAGGCTATCTAGACTTGCCACATCATTCCAGACTTTAGGTGGATTAAGTTTTAATTTATTCTGTAGGGCCTGGGAGGCAGTCTTATTGTCTCCTGAAGCATTACCATAAGTCCAAGGACACAATATTTCGTTTCATCTTCAACGTCTCGAGACCCGTGAAGATTCCGGGGTAGAATAGGTCTTCAGCAACCAATACTTGCCGTAAAAGGCGACTATGCTTGTCGTAAAAGGCGACTAACGGGATCGGGTGGTCAGGCTCGCTGACTTGGTTGATACATGTCATCGATTCCAATTGCGTGGATCGATGCTCATGATGTCAATCAGTGGATTGTCTGGTCCAGACTCGATTATTTTACAGACCGCCGTCATATAGTTGGAATATTGCTGAGTGCGGCGTTAAACAAAAAAACACAACCCCCCAAAAAACAAAAACAATCTGGAGCTGTTCAGATGATGCTGGGGCAGTTCTTTTCGCCTTACGAAATATCATATTAAAAACGTTAATAAATTTATGGATGTACATGATTATGTAAATGTTCGTCTCTAACTTCCGGACATCAATGACTCCACGATATACATTAATAATCTAGGATTTGTTTACCAATGTTTCATATAATGAACTGAATTCAAATTTGAGTTGTTTTGAGTGTGAAACCCTAAGGGACGTAACTCTTGCTAGACTGTCAATCGGACTGACATGTCTGACCCACGCAAGATCGGTTTTGGCCGATTACACTGTATTATTCTGACATATCAAAGAAATTGCGCGATATTCTAGGTACCTAGTGATGTATTCTTGTCATACCAATATGCTGTTAGTTGATAAATGTAGCTACCAATAGGTCTTCAGCGAACCATCCTTGTCGTAAGAGGCGACTAACGGGATCGGGTGGTCAGGCTCGCTGACATGGTTGATGCATGACATTGATCCCAATTGCGTGGATCGGTGCTCATGATGTCAATCAGTGGATTGTCTGGTCCAGACTCGATTATTTACAGACAGCAAACTAACTTATACATGTTTAGAAATACAATTTGATTTAAAACCTTTTCAAATAATAACAAAAACTGATTAGGCATATTACACAACTACTGACGGGTAGCCAAGCATTTTATCTTTTTATTTTATTTTTATTTATCTTTTTTTTCGGCACAAACTTACATTTCAAAGATGGCGGAGGTCATATAGTTGCAAATTCATTTCTTACCACAATTTTCATTGAACCAATTTATTTGTACACAAATGACTTTTTACACTGTTGCTGGAAGGAATGATTGTTAAATAGACAAATTCACATAATGAACAATTCTTTGCATTTTCAGTTACCTAAAAAACAACTTTGGCCCTCAGTTTAGTTGCTGTCACAGATTAGAGCGGTATTGCTATGCATCTTCCCAGTCTCATGACTTGTAATAGCTGCGGCACAATTTACAGAGTCCTTCAATATCAAGCTTTCCTTCTACGGTTCTTTATGGCAATACAGTGAGTGAGTTTGGTTTTACGCCGCCTTTAGCAACATTCCAGCAATATCACGTCGGGGAACACCAGCAATGAGCTTCACATATTGTACCCATGTGGGGAATCGAGCCTGGGCCTTCCGCGTGATGAGCGAACGCTTTAACCACTAGACAACACTCTATGGCTATAATGGCACGGGTGGCCCAGTCGTCTAAGGTGCCGCGATTCGTTGCGTCCCTATGATTGTGGGTTCGAATCCCGGTTCGCTCCGATTATGTTTCTAGGTTTGTCAGCACCATACCCGTGCTCATGGGTTTCACCGAAGTGGTAGACCTGCATCACTTCGGGCTTTCCTCCCACATTAAGTTGACACGCCGTGATATAACTGGAATAATGTTAAAAGCGGCGTTAAACCCAACTCACTCACTCACTTTGGCATTACAGCTAATTTGAGACATGACGCCTAGTTCGCTTATATGTCTTGGCTTTATTTTCAGACGCGGGATCGAAAGTTCATGACAACTCTAAGCTGATCGGCGGCACTTTTGTTGCTGGAGCAGGTAGGATCAAACAGAGGAATTAATATATTACAATTGAATGACACTTTAGTATTTGAACAGTCGCATTACAACACCAATTTGATGAGTCAGTGACTGAGTAGGGTTTTACGCCGCTTGAATAAGAAGAATGAAACGAAATGGTGGAGTTACCAGAAAAGTCTGCACACATTGTACCCATGTTGGGACTCGAACCCGGTCCGTGGCGTGACGAATCAATGTTTTAAGCACTAGGAACCATTTGTTACCATAGCCGAATGACGCGGCATTAGTAATGAAATTACACTCGCACGCAGAAATACCGCACTACTACTACTGCTACTACTACTACTACTACTACTACTACTAGTTCCATACACTTGGTGCGTGTTCAAAGCGGTAACATTATTACGCTGGCACTAAAAGGTGAACAGTCCATCGGATCCCACCGGGTACCCATTTTTACTCATGGGTGAGTGAGTGGGTATGGTTTTACGCCGCTCTTAGCAATATTCCAGCAATATCACGGCGGGGGACACAAGAAATGGGCTTCACACATTGTACCCATGTTGGGAATCGAACCCGGGTCTTCGGCGTGACGAGCGAACGCTGTAACCACTAGGCTACCCGACCGCCCTCTGCTGGGTGAACAGAGGCACATTTCGAACAGCCGTGATGTTGCTGGAATATTGCCTGAAGCGCCGCAAAACCATACTCACTTACTCGTGTTTTTTAAAAGTACGCCATGAGAGTGAGAGAGAGAGAGAGTGAGTATTGTTTGACGCCGCTTTTAGCAATATTCCAGCAATATGACGGCGAGGGAAACCAGAAATGGGCTTCACACATTGTACCCATGTCGGGAATCGAACCCGGGTCTTCAGCGTGACGAGCGAACGCTTTAACCACTAGGCTACCCGACCGACCCAGTACGCCATGAAATAACTGGTATACTGTACAAAGCGGCGCTAAACGTCACTCACTCACTCACTATTATTAAAAGTGAAGTAAAGGAATATGAATATGTTCTAATACATTTTTTTGTTGTTGACAGCTTTTTCAGCAACCTCTGCCGGTGCCTATCTTTTGTGGAAAAAGGTCATTCAACCGTACGCTATTCCCGCCTGTCAGAAATGGCGGGATCGGTCACGTAACAGTGGTCCCGCTGGCTATATTCCGGTAGGGGTCGGCTCTGAATCGTCAGACGATGGCGTGGATGACGTCGATTACGATGGTGATGATGAAAATGAGAAGGAAGAGAGAAGTGGATGCTGTATCTTGTGAGGGGAAAAAGTGAAACTGATTTTTGTGGAACAGCGGTCCATTCCAGAAAGTGATTCTTGTGTAAAAGTGGTTCATATGTGGAAGGGATTCGTGTGGTAAAATGGTCCATGTGTAGAGGTGAGTCTTGGGGAAAAGTGATCCACACTTGGAAGTGATCTCGTGGAAAAATGGTCCATACTTGCAGGTGATTCATATGAAAAAGCGGTCCATATGTAGAAGTGAATCTTGTGGAAAACTGGTCCATAGCAATGACTGGTTCATATGGAAATGTAGTCTATATGTGGAAGTGATTCTTGTGCTAAAAAGGTCCATATGTGGAAGCGATTGATATACAAAAGCTGTCCATACTGTGATTCCTGTGGGCATGTGATTCCTGTGGGCAAGTGATGCCCGTGGAAAAGTGATTCGTATGGGCAAGTGATGCCTGTGGAAAAGTGATTCGTATGGGCAAGTGATGCCTGTTGGAAAGTGATTCCTGTGGAAAAGTGATTCGTGTGTAAAAGTGATTCGTATGGGCAAGTGATGCCTGTGGGGAAGTGATTCGTGTGTAAAAGTGATTCGTATGGGCAAGCGATGCCTGTGGGGAAGTGATAACTGTGGAAAGGTGATTCGTGTGGAAAAGTGATTGGTATGGGCAAGTGATGCCTGTGGGAAAGTGATTCCTGTGGAAAGGTGATTCGTATGGGCAAGTGATTCCTGTGGAAATGTGATGCCTGTGTAAAAGTGATTCGTGTGGAAAAGTGATTCGTATGGGCAAGTGATGCCTGTGGAAAAGTGATGCCTGTGGAAATGTGATGCCTGTGGAAAAGTGATTCGTGTGGGAAAGTGATTCGTGTGGAAATGTGATGCCTGTGGAAAAGAGATTCGTGTGGAAAAGTGATTCGTATGGGAAAGTGATTCGTTTGGAAATGTGATGCCTGCGGAAAAGTGATTCGTGTGTAAAAGTGATTCGTATGGGCAAGTGATTCGTGTGGAAAAGTGATTCGTGTGGGCAAGTGGAAAAGTGATACGTGTTGGCAAGTGATGCCTGTGGAAAAGTGATTCGTGTGGAAAAGTGATTCGTGTGGAAATGTGATGCCTGTGGAAAAGTGATTCATGTGGAAAAGTGATGCCTGTGGAAAAGTGATTCTTGTGGAAAAGTGATTCGTGTGGAAATGTGATGCCTGTGGAAATGTGATCCCTGTGGATAAGTGATTCGTATGGGCAAGTGATTCCTGTGAAAAAGTGATTCGTATGGGCAAATGATTCCTGTGGAAAAGTGATTGGTATGGGCAAGTGATGCCTGTGGAAAAGTGATTCGTATGGGAAAGTGATTCCTGTGGAAAAGTGTATCGTATGGGCAAGTGATGCCTATTGGAAAGTGATTCCTGTGGAAAAGTGATTCGTGTGGAAATGTGATGCCTGTGGAAAAGAGATTCGTGTGGAAAAGTGATTCGTATGGGAAAGTGATTCCTGTGGAAAAGTGATTCGTGTGTAAAAGTGATTCGTATGGGCAAGTGATGCCTGTGAAAAAGTGATTCGTTTGGGCAAGTGATGCCTGTTGGAAAGTGATTCCTGTGGAAAAGTGATTCGTGTGGAAATGATTCGTGTGGAAATGTGATGCCTGTGAAAATGTGATGCCTGTGGAAAAGTGATTCGTATGGGCAAGTGATTCGTGTGGAAAAGTGATTCGTGTGGGCAAGTGATGCCTGTGGGGAAGTGATAACTGTGGAAAAGTGATTCGTGTGTAAAAGTGATTCGTGTGGAAAAGTGATTCGTGATGGCAAGTGATGCCTGTGGAAATGTGATGCCTGTGGAAAAGTGATTCGTATGGGAAAGTGATTCGTGTGGAAATGTGATGCCTGTGGAAAAGTGATTCGTATGGGCAAGTGATTCCTGTGAAAAAGTGATTCGTATGGGCAAGTGATTCCTCTGGAAAAGTGATTCGTATGGGCAAGTGATGCCTGTGGAAAAGTGATTCGTATGGGCAAGTGATTCCTGTGAAAAAGGGATTCGTATGGGCAAGTGATGCCTGTGGAAAAGTGATTCGTGTGGAAAAGTGATTCGTGTGGAAATGTGATGCCTGTGGAAAAGTGATTCGTGTGGAAAAGTGATTCGTGTGGAAAAGTGATTCGTGTGGGCAAGTGATGCCTGTGGGGAAGTGATAACTGTGGAAAAGTGATTCGTGTGTAAAAGTGATTCGTGTGGAAAAGTGATTCGTGATGGCAAGTGATGCCTGTGGAAATGTGATGCCTGTGGAAAAGTGATTCGTATGGGAAAGTGATTCGTGTGGAAATGTGATGCCTGTGGAAAAGTGATTCGTATGGGCAAGTGATTCCTGTGAAAAAGTGATTCGTATGGGCAAGTGATTCCTCTGGAAAAGTGATTCGTATGGGCAAGTGATGCCTGTGGAAAAGTGATTCGTATGGGCAAGTGATTCCTGTGAAAAAGGGATTCGTATGGGCAAGTGATGCCTGTGGAAAACTGATTCGTGTGGAAAAGTGATTCGTGTGGAAATGTGATGCCTGTGGAAAAGTGATTCGTGTGGGAAAGTGATTCGTATGGGAAAGTGATTCCAGTGGAAATGTGATGCCTGTGGGAAAGTGATTCGTATGGGAAAGTGATTCCAGTGGAAATGTGATGCCTGTGGGAAAGTGATTCGTATGGGAAAGTGATTCCTGTGGAAATGTGATGCCTGTGGGAAAGTTATTCGTATGGGCAAGTGAGGCCTGTGGGGAAGTGATTCCTATGGAAAAGTGATTCGTGTGGAAAAGTGATTCTTGTGGAAAAGTGATTCGTATGGGCAAGTGATGCCTATGGAAAAGTGATTCGTGTGGAAAAGTGATTCGAGTAGGAAGTAATACGTATGGACAATCGATGCCTGTTGAAAAGTGATGCCTGTGGAAAAGTGATTCGTATGGGCAAGGGATGCCTGTGGGAAAGTGATTACTGTCGAAAAGTGATTCGTGTGTAAAAGTGATTGGTATGGGCAAGTGATGCCTGTGGGAAAGTGATTACTGTTGAAAAGTGATTCGTGTGGAATAGTGATTCGTTTGGGCAAGTGATGCCTGTGGAAAAGTGATTCGTGTGTAAAAGTGATTCGTGTGGAAAAGTGATTCGTGTGGGCAAGTGATGCCTGTGGGGAAGTGATAACTGTGGAAAAGTGATTCGTGTGTAAAAGTGATTCGTGTGGAAAAGTGATTCGTGATGGCAAGTGATGCCTGTGGGGAAGTGATAACTGTGGAAAAGTGATTCGTGTGGAAAAGTGATTGGTATGGGCAAGTGATGCCTGTTGGAAAGTGATTACTGTCGAAAAGTGATTCGTGTGTAAAAGTGATTGGTATGGGCAAGTGATGCCTGTGGAAAAGTGATTCGTGTGGGCAAGTGATGCCTGTGGGGAAGTGATAACTGTGGAAAAGTGATTCGTGTGGAAAAGTGATTCGTGTGGGCAAGTGATGCCTGTGGGGAAGTGATGCCTGTGGAAAAGTGATTCGTGTGTAAAAGTGATTCGTATGGGCAAGTGATGCCTCAGGGAAAGTGATTACTGTCGAACAGTGATTCGTGTGGAAAAGTGATTGGTATGGGCAAGTGATGCCTTTGGAAAAGTGATTCGTGTGTAAAAGTGATTCGTATAGGCAAGTGATGCCTGTGGGAAAGTGATTACTGTCGAAAAGTGATTCGTGTGTAAAAGTGATTGGTATGGGCAAGTGATGCCTGTGGAAAAGTGATTCGTGTGGAAAAGTGATTGGTATGGGCAAGTGATGCCTGTGGGGAAGTGATAACTGTGTAAAAGTGATTCGTGTGGAAAAATGATTCGTTTGGGCAAGTGATGCCTTTGGGAAAGTGATTAATGTGGAAAAGTGATTCGTTTGGAAAAGTGATTCGTTTGGGCAAGTGATGCCTGTGTAAAAGTGATTCGTGTGTAAAAGTGATTCGTGTGGAAAAGTGATTCGTTTGGTCAAGTGATGCCTGTGGGGAAGTGATAACTGTGTAAAAGTGAATCGTGTGGAAAGGTGATTCGTTTGGGCAAGTGATGCCTTTGGAAAAGTGATTCGAGTAGGAAGTGATTCGTATGGACAATCGATGCCTGTGGAAAAGTGATTCGTATGGAAAAGTGATACGTATGTACAATCGATGCATGTGGAAAAGTGATTCGTGTGTAAAAGTGATTCGTATGGGCAAATGATGCCTGTGGGGAAGTGATTACTATGGAAAAAGGATTCGTGTGGAAAAGTGATTCGAGTAGGAAGTGATTCGTATGGACAATCGATGCCTGTGGAAAAGTGGGCCATGTGAGCGAGTTATTCCTATGAAAACGTGAATTGAGTTCCCGTGGCCAAGTGATTCCTGTGTCTTAAAGGTGTGTCGTGGAAGTGTGGGGATGGTTTCTGAAGGAAGATAATCCATATAGAAACGGACTTCCATAGGAGGAAAACAGGTCACATGTCATGACATGGCGACATGGTTTGAACATTATTATTTGCTTTATATTTAGTTGAAGCTATATTTCTATACTGAGTCAAATTAAAAACTTCACATTTTTAAAAGTAATCCCATATATGATATACAACGGACAAATGTATCAGAGAAGGTAATTTTTAATCATTAACGTCCAAAGAAGGATTTTAATTAACGGTGGTAACCATAATTTGCTCAAAGCCCCTACGGTATTCGGTAATAACATCAACAGTTTAAATCATAAGTCCCAAGCACGAGAATCTGATGGCACACAAGTTCAGTAGCGTGTATGGCCACCATGTGCGTTGACAACTGCCACAAACGCCTCCGCATGGACCTTGTGATGCTTGTGAACACATGATTGGGAAGACGACGCCATTGTTGCTGCAAAATGGTGCCAAGATCTTGCAAATTCTGTGGTTGGTTCTGGAGAGTGCGCAGACTTCTGCCAAGAGCATCCCAGACGTGTTCGATGGGATTGAGGTCGGGAGACCTTGACGGCCAGTCCATGGTTTCGAACAGTTTGCGCACTCAGTCTACCCCTAAACAGTTCATTTCTGGTTGATGTAGCCGTCAAAAATCGGTTACGGAGGTGACGTAAGACAATCTGACGATCCTCTGCATGTGACGTCACACGTGGTCGACCTGGCTGAGGGCGATCAGCGGTGGTACCCGTTTGCTGTAGACGCGTCTGTAAATCATAAACAGTCCGTCGACTACAACCCATCGTCCTTGCGACTTCAGCTACGGACGTTCCCGTCTGCAACATGCCGATTGCACGTTCACGTTGCACATTTGAAAGGCATGGCATGACAAATGGCCGTAAAGACTTTTGTTTTCTTGTGTTTTCTTTTTTTTGTGTTAATGACTGCTAACAAGTATGGCTGACAACACGTGCGGTATAATGGCCACGTGACCAGTTGCACTTGAAAAAAACACTTTTGCCACTATAGTGCTGTACACATGATTTTGATCGATTCACCTGCACAAAAACGGGTGTTATCTGAAGACAATACGTTGCCATTACTGTTTAAATACACAATAAGGGCCCACAATGATAACTGGTCAAAATGTTAAAGTATCACTTCGGGTTAATCATAGTTATCGTATCTCGAAATATACATGTACACTTTATATCGACCTACACATGTGCAATTCATGTCGAGATGGGAATCTGCTTCGTGTGCCAAGATTTGCCTTGTAACAACACAACTTTACCTTCATACGAATGTCATTTTAATCAAATGTCAGGCCACGTGTGTAACGGGATGGACAAATTAGTATAGACAGCCTTGCTCCCAGCAGGTTTATAACCAAGGTAGCCGTAGGCCTGTTGACACTCTGCATCAATATATTTGACCTTGTCATACTCCAGATGAAGACGCCATTCCTGGGAAACCCTGGCCGAGTTGGCTTTAGAAATACACATGGGACAGTTCTCTTCATGTCCTTCCATGCTTTTGTTTCTGACATGAATAAAAACAGATGGCATCATGGGTAAATTCATGACGTTGTACAGCTCCTTTGTTAAAACGAGTGGACGTTTCGCTAAATTTTCGTAAAGAACCACATGGGCTCTGTTAGGATTCCTCTGTTTGATTATTTTAATATTCTGCAAATCTGTTAATAACCTTTCGCAAAAGGTTACAACAAATTTCTTGAAGTCCTTTTCTTTGTAAACGTGGAACCGCCCTTCTGACCGTATTGTCGCACGAGGATCCCGCACTAAATGGATGACCCGTAACTTTGGGTCAGAATCCATCAATTCTCCAGCCATTTTCACGCTGAGAGAGACTGTTTTGGAAAGGAGGACTTTAGCGCTGCAACACGCCTTGTAGAGGTGGTGCAGGCAACGAAGCACGCCCAACACCCCCGGGTTTGCTGTCAAACAGTCATAGTAGGGTTTAGTCGAACGGCTGTGTTGGAGATGGAACTGACTTAGTGTATCAATGTCAATCTTTTCAAATTCGCAGTTCAGTAATGCAGACATTGTAGATCGCATTATATAGCTTTTGCGATTATACCAAGCTCTTCTGAAACGAAGAGAAACGGTTAACGAGTTAAGTATTATCAAATTGTGTTAGTTATTGACATGGATCATCTACACAATGGGTACCCGGTAAGATGGGTGTTGTGTACACTTGTATTCTCTATTTGTTGACATCTAAAATTCACCATTATTTTATATCACAAATTGAATTATTGATATCACGAATTCCATTATTAAATATTTCAAAAATCAATTATTGATATTACAAAATTGAATTGATCATATCATGAATTACTTAAGACTTTAAGATATCACAAATTCGATTTGTGATATCATAAAATACATGTTTAGATATCACAAATTCATTGTATGATGTCTTCAATGCGAATTTGTGATATCAATATTTATTTCATGACATCAATAATTTTTGATGATATGATTAATTCGAATCAGTTTGTGATATCAATACATGAAATACTGATACAATAAAATCAGGAATAAATATTAAAACGGCGCCTCATAAACCCCCACTCTCTGGGCATGCGTGACCATGCGTCCTTTTAAGCTTAGGTGAGGTGAGGTGAAATTGGGTTTAACGTCGCGTCCAAGATTGTAGCACTTATACAGCGACGTGCATGCACGTGTGTGTGTGTTTGTGTGGCTGCTTGTACTAGTCCGGAGTGATGCCGATTTATAGTGCTAGCACACTGAGATACCATGCCGCAGTTTAACATGAATACCCCACTCGGACACAGTATACTGACTCCGAGCCGACCAGTCCTTGTTTTAGCCCCTTAATGCCGAGCGCCAGACAGGGTAACAACAAGTACCATCTTTTAACGTCTTTTTGTATGACGCGGCCGGGGATCGAACCCCGGACCTTCCGCTCTCCGGGCGGACGCTCTACCACTAGACCACGGAGACGGTCTCTTTTAAGCTGAGAGCTAAATAAGTTATTGATTTGTCACTCTTGGCAAGAAAGACGAAAATATAAATTTCAGCATTGAAATATTGGTATCAACGTAACAATTCATGGCATCAGGCTCGGCATCCGGGGTATCAAATGTGAGTTGACACCCTCACTATAATATATTTATGTACAATGTTTGAACAATTTAATTCGAACCGAACTACAAAACTTAAAAAAACCCTCACTTTTGTCGAAGTCCGAGATAATCGAACACAGTATGTTTCTCCTGAGACAGGAAGTGAAGCGGCTCGAAGAAGTAAAACACATCCGGGTGCGCAGAAAGGATGTCTCCTGTGAACGTCGAGCCACTGCGCATGTACGTGAGCAGAATGACCTTAGTGTGAGCTTTGGGTCGACAGGGGTGGGTCGTGTTGCACAAGGGAGATCCGTCAAATAGATCTGCGGAAGGAAAGTATGAGGAGTCGTCAATGGAGTAGTCTCCCTTTAAGTCAAACGCTTCAAGGGCAATACCTTCGCATAATCATGCTGTTTAACAGCGCACTCAGCAATATTCCAGCTATATGACGGCGGTCTGTAAATAATCGAGTCTGGACCAGACAATCCAGTGATTGACATCATGAGCATTGGGGTACGATGACATGTATGAACCAAGTCAGCGAGCCTGACCACCCGATCCCGTTTTACGACAAGCAGGCATTTTTCTTCACATGTCATTTATGCGTTAGAAAATGCTGGTCGTGTTGATTTCTTTTAGTGGCAGACATGTTTTTTGGTGGTAAAATGCAAAATGGTTATGGCAAAATTAAGTAAATGAAATAAATGGCTCTAAACAAGTCAGTTTGCATATTGGAATGCTTATTTCATCACAAAATTATTGTCCTGACATAGAAAACCTACAATAGACTAAATAAACAATAAGCAAAAAATTGTTTAAATTGAGTTATGAGCGAAAATGCATCAAGAACATGAAAAAAACACTCTCATTCATTTCATTTTCAAATTATTAGAAATTGAAGATTGTGTAACGCCTACATTGACAACTATGTCGTTTGTTATCTCAAAATGTGTCTGAGTGCTTGAGGAGCTTATAAAAGCACAATTAATGTAGGTATAAAATAATGTGTGAAATTTCAGTAAATGTGATCCCCCCCCATCCTGTTACAAAACCACAAATATATTATTACACATTAAAAGCACATACTAAGAGAACACTAACATTCTTGTGTACCAAATTGTTTTATTTGAACACATGAATCATTTAAGTGTCTTACATATGTAAGCTTGAGAAATTCGATTTATCCAATATGGCGGAAAAGAGCGCCTCCATGATGGCCCCCGATACAGGAAAATGACGATATTTCGTCTTCACCTCGAAATGTATGAGAAACTAAAAAGTAAAATTTTGGGTTTTGACCAGAAACTCTATCTTGACATTATCGCCGATGTTATATACCATAATTGTTGATCATATTGTCTTACTTTGAAGTGTCCATGTGAAGCACTTAGCTGCAGTGGCGGTCGGGTAGCCTAGTGGTTAAAGCGTTCGCTCGTCACGCCGAAGACCGGGTTCGATTCCCGTCATGGGTACAATGTGTGAATCCCATTTCTGGTGTCCCCCGCCGTGATATTGCTGGAATATAGCAAAAGGCGGCGTAAAACCATATTAACTCACTCACTTGGCTGAAATTGCTTCAATATTGTCAGTAACTCATTAAAAGATCTTATTTTTTCTCTAATGCAGTAAGAAGCATTTAGTCATCGTCACCATCATGGACAGAGTTTTGGCAGCCAGAGCAGGGCAGTGTTCTGTACGTGGCAGTCCAGCCACGAGTGCGTGAGTGAGTGAGGTTTTACGCCGCTTTCAGCAATATTCTAGCAATATCACGGAATGGTGCATTGTACATTGACATTGTACCCATGTCGGGAATCGAACCCGGGTCTTCGGCGTGACGAGCGAACGCTTTAACCAGTAGGCTACCCGACCGCCACTGCAGCTAAGTGCTTCACAGTCTTTCATCCGATTACCCCGATCAATGTTGGATCTCTATCGGATTTTACGGAAAACGGAGACCCAAAAAAGAGGATGTCGGGTGAATTTTCATCGGAATTCATCGGAACGCTGAAACTTTTGCAAAATTGGGATCAGATGGGCTTCAGATCAGGTACCGATGGTCAGTGGAATGGGGGTATTAACCACGAGGCTACCCGACCGCAATTGGTTGCAATTGTTAGGCAGTGATTCCCACGTACTTTGCAGCGCCTCCTCCGTTCAAATCATTTATCCCACGGAAGCGAGAAACATTTGACGGAATCAGTCGTACGGGCCACTTTCATGGTGAGGTGAGGTGAGGTGAGGTGAGGTGAGGTGAGGTGAAATGGGGTTTAACGTCGCGTCCAAGATTATTGCACTTATATAGCGACGTGCATGCACATGTATGTGTGTGTGGCTGCTTGTACTAGTCCGGACTGTTGCCGATTATAAAGCTAGCACACTGAGATACCATGCCGCAGTTTAACATGAATACCCCACTCAGACACAGTATACTGACTCCGAGCCGACCAGTCCTGTCCTATCCTTCCCGGAATATTCACGGGTCACAGAGAGGTGGAGGGTTGGGGAGGTCAGCCAAATATCTTACAGTCCTAAGAAACGTCTCTTCCCACCCCGACTCCACCCCTATAATAAATAGATATACTATTTACCTATTTTGCACAAGACTATATATATACTAGCATAAATATGAGTATACGTTGCACACTACGAGTAAGGTGAGGTGAAATGGAATTTAACGTCCAAGAATATTGCACTTAAATAGCGACGTGCAGAACGTGTGTGTGTGTGTGGTTGCTTGTACTAGTCCGGACTGATGCCGATTTATAGTGCTAGCTCACTGAGATACCATGCCGCAGTTTAACATGAATATTCCACTCAGACACAGTATACTGACTCCGAGCCGACCAGTCCTTGTTTTAGCCCGCTAATGCCACGCGCCAGACAGGGAAACAACAAGTACCATCTTTTAACGTCTTTTGGCCCCGGACCTTCCGCTCTCCGGGCGGACGCTCTACCATTAGACCACGGAGGCCGTCCTACGAGTAAACAGCAGCTGGATTGCATTTAGTCGTTTACTGAATACATTGTCGGCTCGTACTCAACCCAGGCATAAAGGTATTAGTATTATTTTTTCTTTGCTAGGCCTGATAATAGGTGAGGTGAAATGGGGTTTAACGTGGAAGGTGGAAGAGCTAGCAGAGTTGCCATCTGTCTTGTGTGCAAATCATAATATCGAATAAATACGCAATAGAAAATCGTCACTTATGAACTCATGTAATAATGTTTACAGACCAGGAACGGCATATGGGCTATAACATCAATAACCCGATTCCTTGATGAGGACGGGACAATTAGACCGACTGATTGAATGATAAGCAGCTTGTGGCGCCACAATAGTCACCTCGCTCCGGGAATCTTCTCGGTGGATCGGCCACTTGGACAGAATTTAAATGACAATTCATATCTGCAAACAAAGAAACAAACAAACAAACAAATAATAAATAAAGTGAGCCCACGAATGAACGAGAGTGAGTGAATGAGTGAGTGAGTATGGGTTTACGCCGCTTTTAGCAATATTCCAGCAATATCACGGCGGGGGACACCAGAAATGGGCTTCACACATTGTACCCTTCACACATTGTACCCACGTCGGGAATCGAACCCGGGCCTTCGGCGTGACGAGCGAATGCTTTAACCACTGAGCTATCCGACCGCCCCAGCTCATCCTAGGGTACCGTTCTGTATTCTGATTTTGGCGAGAGTACGTTTTTGTTTCTGCCGACGACGACTGTTTCATGACTAAAGCCCGATTGACTGCCCGAGCTTCTAATGTTTGATACTGACTTACGACGGCAGTGTGCAACGTTCGCTTTGAGAAACGATCCCTGGTTCAAAACGTTGTGGGACGGTGGGGCAGCTTTGTGGTTAAAGCGTTCGCTAGTCACGCCGAAGCCCCGAGTTCGATCTCCATATGGGTACAATGTGTGAAGCTCATGTATGGCGTCCTCCCGCCGTCGTATTGCAAGAATATTGCTTAAACCGGCGTAAAACCATTCTCACTCACTCAATCACTTACTCAAAACGTTTTTGAAACTGGCAGCTAATCGGGGGCATGGCATTGTACCGTAACGACAAGGTTCAGCGAACTTCAGCGTCCATTGTTCTTGTATGCGTGCATGTTTACAAAAGTGAACAACAAACAAACAAAATTATACTTACATAGGATAAACAGGCAGCATACACACAGACACATCATCACCCCCCTGTACCTGTACCATAACCTCATCATTGTATCCTCACCATCGGTTTTCCTCTGACAGGTTTTAATATATCAGATCGACTAAACGTCAGCTGACACGGCTATGGCAGGGCGGTCTGTCCAAGTGGAAACATTATTGACGTTATTTTGAACCTATCCTATTTCTCTCTTTTCAATACAAGGCGTTGTCGGTATTTGTAGTAGCTCTGGGATCAATAAGTTTTTTAATTATACTTATTTGTCACGTGTGTACTGCGTTAAAAAGGTTTGAGATAAATAATCATTGACATTTCTTAAAATTTAATAATTCTTCGCGACTAAAAGTCTATATCCAGTGTCCTAGGGCTGGGAAGAGTCCAACGTTACTACCCGGGTACCCACCACCCTATTACCCGACCCCACCCGGGTACCCGCTGTAGATATTTAGATATAGATACAAACTGTCCGATTTGGAAAACTTTGACCGTAGCTCTTGCAAAATGTAATTGGTTGGATACGCGTGTAAAACGATCTGGTCATGCACACACTAAAGTTTACAGCATGAAGTTTTATCTTTATTCAAACATATAAAAGTCAGAAGGAATGGGTGCATTGTCAGAAAGAAATGGGATCGTTAGTGACTTATAGTGTATGCATAGAGTTTTTGATAATTTTTGACATTGAACAATATATCATGTGACTAAGCACGGGTCCGGGTAGTCCTGTGGGTACCCGGGTCCTTTTCAGGACCCATCCGACCCGAGTTACCCGTCCTAGCCCTACCGTGTACGCCCCGTTCAGTATTCGGGGGCACGGGTGGCGCAGTCGTCTTAAGGCGCTGCAATTTGCCGTGCAGAGTTGCGTCCCTTGGGCACGCCAGGATCCTATGATTGTAGGTTCGCCCCGATGATGTTTCTAGATTTGTCAGCACCAAAAGCATGTTGTCAGCATGTTGTAGACAATTGGTTGTAAAATTATGATTGAAAATTGGATCACCGAAATTGATCAGCTGGAGTCATTTTGCTGTTTTTCAATGTTTAGTTCAGTAAAACGTGATACTCAATTCAGCACTTCATTTTTCAAAACAGACTTGACTTTTGTCAGGTACTAAGCAGTTAACAGACCACCCCAGGAAACAAAGCTTTTTGTTTGAAATTAAAACTGAAACACCTTTCCATTGCCATGTTGTACACTTAATGTATTTTCATAAATATTAGATCAATAAAGAGGGACGGCAAAATCGCTGGTGCGCTCTAAAAAAATATACCGTACAAAAAAACGTCGCTTTTACTTTTCAATTTGACTTTTCAATTTGACGACGTGCTACCATGAACCTCGTTCGCAGTCACTACCGCTTCTGTGACGGTATGGTTCCGGGAAATCTTTTCAATGAAACTTATTGACAGTCTCATATGTGTTGTGTTTACGGTGTGGTCTGGTAAAAACAGAGCACTGTGGGATATCATCCGGGCAAATTACTGGTATTACTGGCAAAAAATAGTATCTCGTACCAACGGTAAAAGTCCTCGGAGCTGGTTAACAGTAAAAGTACCGTTTTAAAAACGCGCTGATCGTAGATACAGGCGTGCCGTAGGTAAGGTGTGAGTGAGTGAGTTGGGTTTAACGCCGCTTTAAACAGTATTACAGTGATATCACGGCATGTCAGCTTAATGTGGGAGGAAAGCCCGAAGTGATGCAGGTGTCAGACGTTTACCGCTTCGGTGAAAACCACGAGCACGGGTATGGTGCTGACAAATCTAGAAACATAATCGGGCCAAACCGGGATTCGAACCTGCAATCATAGGTTTCTGGCGTGCCGAACGCTGCACAGCGAATGCTGCGCCTTAGACTGGGCCACCCATGACCCCAGGTAAGGTATGAACATTTTCATGCACGGTACTGTTTTTGGCAACCAGCTGCCATGACTTTTACGGTAATAAGATATCAGGATTATTTTAGAGCGTTTTCGATTATGGAAAATTGCTTTCCATTGCCTGGTGTTGATCAAATCATCACAACACGAGGCCGCCAAATGCTCAGAAACACCCCCGTAAGTAAATGAAACCTCTTTGTCTCTTTCTTGAAACAGGTGAGATGAGGTGAAATGGGGTTTAACGTCGCGTCCAAGATTATTGCACTTATATAGCGACGTGCATGCACATGTATGTGTGTGTGTGGCTGCTTGTACTAGTCCGGAGTGATGCCGGTTTATAGTGCTAGCACACTGAGATACCATGCCGCAGTTTAACATGAATACCCCACTCAGACACAGTATACTGACTCCGAGCCGACCAGTCCTTGTTTTAGCCCCTTAATGCCGAGCGCCAGACAGGGTAACAAGAAGTACCATCCTTTAACGTCTTTTGGTATGACGCGGCCGGGGATCGAACTCCGGACCTTCCGCTCTCCGGGCGGACGCTCTACCACTAGACCACGGAGGCGGTCCTGGAAACAGGTAAATATGGAGCTATTATAGTTCGAGAGAAGCCGAGTGCCCAGTTATAAATCGATTCTAATATGCAATTAGGTTACACAAGTATAGTTTTGATTGTTCGTTGCTTAACGCCGCACGCAGCAAAATTGCAGCTATATGGCGGCGTATATAATCGAGTTTGGGAAAGACTGACACCATGAGCATCGATCCACGCAACTGTGATACGATGACACGCATCAACCAAGTCAGCGAACCTGACCACCCGATCCCTTTAGTCGCAGAAGAAAAGTCGCCTCTTACGGCAAGCATGGGTTGCTGAAGACCTATTCTTACTCGGATCTTCACGGGTCCAATAATACTGGGAAAGAGAAGTGGTCAAAGCATCCTCTCATCGTGTTGAAGTTCGAAGTTTGAAGCAAAAATGCCTCTGTGGCGATTCCGGTTAGAAAAAGTACCCCATTGCCTTATGTATGAACCGATTATAATTTACATTACCCAAAACAAGTTAAAGAAGATCAACAATTGGAAGGCTCTGTGTTGCAATCCCCACCAGCCACCACATTAACTGAATTGTATGACAAAATCGAGTATTCCTTAACATCTTTTGAGTAGTATATATCGGGTGATGACATGCATCAACCAAGTCAGCGAGCCTGACCACCCGATCCTGTTAGTCGCCTCTATAACTTGTCTCAAGGTGAATCATCGTAATCCGAGGTTTTTCGATGTTGTTCATGTTATCAACCACTGGTTTGCCTGGTCCAAATTCGATAATTTGCAGGCCGCCAAGATAAAGATGACACAGTGGGTGACTGCTCGTCTGCTATTCTAGAAAGGTTGGTTGGTTGGTTGGTTGGTTGTTTAACGCCGCACTCAGCAATATTCCAGCTATATGACGGCGGTCTGTAAATAATCGAGTCTGGACCAGACAATCCAGTGATTAATATCATGAGCATCAGTCCAACGAATTGGGATCGATGACATGCATCAACCAAGTTAGCGAGCCTGACCACCCGATCCCGTTAGTCGCCTTTTACGACAAGCATAGTCACCTTTTACGGCAAGCATGGGTTGCTGAAGACCTATTCTACCCCGGAATCTACACGGGTCTTCTAGAAAGGGATTGCATGGGACTTATTGCGAGATGATAAGGAATTGCTGACTGCATCGAGACGCACACATTCTTTTATTGAAAGTAGGAGTCAAAGATTTTCTTCTGTGACACACAACATACCCGTATTTATTAAACATGAGGCAAATCTTTTACCAGCCTCAAGACCGTGATCTTTGGCTTTCTGCACGAACCCTGGGCTCGAACTGGACACGTTTGTAGTTTAACGCCGCACTCAGCAATGTTACAGCTACATGACGGCGGCCTGTGAATAATCGAGTCTGGACCAGACCATCTAGAGGTTGACATTGTGAGCATCGATCCACGCCGTCGGGGTACGATAACACGCTGTCAACCAAGTCACCGAGCCTGACCACACGATCCATTTGGTCTCCTCTTGCAACCAGCAAAGGGACCTACTCTAACCATGGGGGCAATGGCAGTTCACACGAAGAAAACAGTTCATGTATAGACCTTTACCTATGCATAAATTCCTTTGATCAAATAATAGGCCACGTGTGTAATGGGATGGACAAATTAGTATAGACAGCCTTGCTCTCGACAGGTTTATAACCAAGGTAGTCGTACACCTGTTGACATTCTTCATCAATAAATTTGACCTTGTCGTACTCCAGATGAAGACGCCATTCCTGGGAGGCCCTGGCCGAGTCGGCTTTAGAAATACACATGGAACAGTTCTCTTCATGTCCCCTCATTGTAATGTTCACTACATGGTCATACACTGAAGGGGTCAACGGCAGCTTCAAGACGTCATACAACTTCTGAGATATATTAAGTGGATGCTCTGCTAAATTTTCGTACAGAACCACATGAGCTCGTTTGGGAACTCTCTTTTTGATTCTGTCAATAACTTGTAAGTCATCCAATAGGTTCTTGCAAAAAGTTCCAACAAACGTCCAGAAATCTTTCAATTTATAATAACTGTACCGCCCTTCTGACCAAATAGTTGCCCGTGGGTCACGCACAAGGTGGATGACCCGCACCTTGGAGTCCCGAGACATAATTTCCCTGGCTATCTTCATGTTGAGGGCGATGGTTTTGGTGAGAATCACCTTGGCGTTGAGGCACGCCTTGTAGAGTTCAGGCAGACAATGAAGGAGACCAAATATGCCAGGCTTGTCTTGCAAACAGTCGGAGAACGACTTCGTTGTGCGGCTGTTTCTGAGATGAAACTGGCTAAGCGTATCGATGTCCATCTTCTCAAAGTCACAGTTCAGTAGGGCCGACATGACCCTTCGGATCAGGTACCGCTTGAAACTGTAGCCGGAGATTCTGCAACGAAGAGGCATAGGTAGACGTGAGTGAAATGGCGACAGATTTTATGGAAAGAATGATTAACATATGCAGGACAGGAGGCCAAGACTCTGAGTAGCCGACCCTTTAATATTCTATTTGGGGTAGGAGTTAAAACAAACTTATTGTGTCTGATAAGTTCCTATTTTCAACTGTCTGAAACATAATTAGTTTGATCAAGCTTTTCCTGGAACAGTATCGTTTTGTTTCGAAGTATAATTACTGGGTGTAGAAGCTGACTGTACAACAGGAAGGGGGTGATTATTGGGTGTAGAAGCTGACCTTGGTACCACAGACAGGAACTGATTACTGGGTGTAGAAGGTGACCTTGGTACCACAGACAGGAACTGATTGATGGGTGTAGAAGCTGACCTTGGTACCACAGACAGGAACTGATTGATGGGTGTAGAAGCTGACTGTACTACAGACAGGAACCATTTACTGGGTGTAGAAGCTGATCTTGGAACCACAGACAGGAACTGATTACTGGGTGTAGAAGCTGACCTTGGTACCACAGACAGGAACCATTTACTGGGTGTAGAAGCTGATCTTGGAACCACAGACAGGAACCATTTACTGGGTGTAGAAGCTGACTGTACTACAGACAGGAACCATTTACTGGGTGTAGAAGGTGACCTTGGTACATCAGACAGGAACTGATTACTGGGTGTAGAAGCTGATCTTGGTACCACAGACAGGAACCATTTACTGGGTGTAGAAGCTGATCTTGGAACCACAGACAGGAACTGATTACTGGGTGTAGAAGCTGACCTTGGTACCACAGACAGGAACCATTTACTGGGTGTAGAAGCTGATCTTGGAACCACAGACAGGAACTGATTACTGGGTGTAGAAAGTGACCTTGGTACCACAGACAGGAACTGATTACTGGGTGTAGAAGATGACCTTGGTACCACAGACAGGAATTGAATACTACACATATTCCGTCACACCCCAGACCCATGATGGTCAGTGTATGGAACTGGAAAGACTCCTGTTGAGATCATCTTCCCGAGGCAAGAGAGTTAATTTACTTAAAAAGTCCAGTTTCCACCCTTGCCGAACTAGGATGGAATTACTGTGCTCGATCGTAGCGCCACCAGTGGCTATTACCAGTTATGTCCCTTCAAAGCCTCTCCTATGGACCAATCAAATTCCAAATCAAATTCTTGTCTCGGGAAGATGGTTGAGAGGGGCTCATTACAGAAGATCAATTCTAGTGTACCCCTAAGGGTACATTGTACTCATGTCGGGAATCGAACCGGGTCTTCGGCGTGACGAGCGAACACTTTAACCAATAGGCTACCCGACCGCCCCCGTCAGAAGATGAACAGCGGATTAATATATTCTGAATGTGAAGGTGACGTCGACTTACCGAGTTTTGTTGCGATGGTGATATCGACTGAAATACATATAATATAGATTTAGGAAGCCTGGACGGAGGACTGGACAACAACCAGCAGTACTCATGCTATATTACTGGTGCCCAATATTCAGACATCGTCAGATAGTCTACCCTATCTGCAGCGATAAATCCGTTTCTGACAAGAGACAGGTGAACGGTGTTCACAGTAGACATCATTCAAACAATATCATGCCATTCAGATCGAGTCTAGACCATTGTGACGAGTGATTAACTGCATGACCACACGCTATCAGCAAGGTGACACATTTCAAACCACCCGATCATCAAACGCTAACTCCATATGTGACAAACGTGGGGTAAAGTTGATCTCCATATATGTGTGTGTGATGAAAACATAACCAGATTGCATTCCCAACAGAATGTGAGGTGAAATGGGGTTTTAACGTCGCGTCCAAGATTATTGCACTTATATAGCGACGTGCATGCGTGTGCGTGTGTGCATGTGCATATGCGTGTGTGTGGCTGCTTGTACTAGTCCGGACTGATGCCGATTTAGAGTGCTAGCCCCTTAATGCCGAGCGCCAGACAGGGAAACAACAAGTACCATCTTTTAACGTCTTTTGGTCCCAACAGAATGTATTTTTTGATAGCTGTGTGACTGCCTTGTTATTGTGATTGGGGTTTTACGCCGCTTGGAACGTTTATGTCACAGCATCTCAACTCATATTAGCTGAACGATCGATGGTTCTCGAGGATACAGAGAATCTCCTGGCGAATCTGGGATTCGAACCTACGACATCGGATCCTGGCCGGGCCAAGTGACAATATTCCACATGTTCAATCATCTAACATTTTGCTCTTATACATTCACGCTGAAAAAACGCTATTTCGTTGATAATTAATCCAATAACATCCTTAGTTATTTACATATGAGTGAGTGAGTATGGGTTTACGCCGCTTTAAGCAATATTCCAGCAATATCACGGCGGGGGACACCAGAAATGGGCTTCACACATTGTACCCATGTCGGGAATCGAACCCGGGTCTTCGGCGTAACGAGCGAACGCTTTAACCACTAAGCTACCCGACCGCCTCTATTAATATATAAAGTTTCAGTATGCAGAAATAATAAATAGTCCATTGGAGACATGAACTTGATTAGAAAGAAAATGGCAGCGAGTGTAATATACTGAAATAAGGAAATTAAATTGACTTACAATTTCCGTTTTCGCAAATAATCGAATACGGTGTGTGTTTCCTGTACCAGGAAGTGAAGCGGCTCGAAGAAGTAAAACACATCCGGGTGCTTAGAAAGGATGTCTCCTGTAAATGTCGAGCCACTGCGCATGTACGTGAGCAGAATGACTTTGGTGCGAGCTTTGGGTCGACAGGGGTGGGTCGTGTTGCACGGGAGAGATCGGTTGAAGAGGCCTATGGGTGGAAACAAAATTAAGCTTGCACGTCTCAGAGTGAGTGAGTGAGTGAGTGAGTGAGTGAGTGAGTGAGTGTGATTTTACTCCCAGACAGCAAGAGCACAGATGCAACAAGTCGTATGTAAATAATAGAGTCTGAACGGATCAACAGTTGTAAACATCAGCATCAACCCATACCATCGAAGCACGGTGACACACATTGAGTCTCTGACGTACTCCAGAGCATGTATCCAAGAAAGCATTAAGCCCCATTTCAGTGCAATCTCTAGAAGCCTATTCTCATCCCCATCTCAGCTCCAGCACCGGTACTTATCCCCATATAGAAATCTAGCAGTCATACGTATCCCCATAAAAAGATCTAGCAGCCCATACTGATCCCCCATCACACCTCTAGCAATCACACTTATTCCCATCACAGTTTACGCAATCACACTTATTCCCATCACAGCTTTGGCAGTCATACTGATCCCCACCACAGTTCTAGCAGCCCATACACATCCACATCACAGCTCTAGCAGCCCATACACATCCCCATCTCAGGTCTAGCAGCCCATACACATCCCCACCACAGTTCTAGCAGCCCATACACATCCCCATCTCAGCTCTAGCAGCCCATACACATCCCCATCTCAGGTCTAGCAGCCCATACACATCCCCATCTCAGGTCTAGCAGCCCATACACATCCCCATCTCAGGTCTAGCAGCCCATACTTATCCCCATCTCAGGTCTAGCAGCCCATACACATCCCCATCTCAGGTCTAGCAGCCCATACACATCCCCATCTTAGGTCTAGCAGCCCATACTTATCCACATTACAGTTATAGCAGCCATACGTATCCTCATCTCAGTCTAGCTGCCTTACTTATCCCTATCATAGCTCTAGCAGCCCATACTTATCCAGATCACAGTTCTAGCAACCATACGAATCTTCATCTCAGTTCTGGCTGCCTTACTTATCCCTATCCCAGCTCTAACAACCCATACTGATCCCCATCTCAGCTGCCTTACTTATCCCTATCCCAGGTCTAACAACCCATACTGATCCCCATCTCAGCTGCCTCACTTATCCCTACCTCATCTCTTACAACCCATACTGATCCCCATCTCAGCTGCCTCACTTATCCCTACCTCATCTCTTACAACCCATACTGATCCCCATCTCAGCTGCCTCACTTATCCCTACCTCATCTCTTACAACCCATACTGATCCCCATCTCAGCTGCCTCACTTATCCCTACCTCATCTCTTACAACCCATACTGATCCCCATCTCAGCTGCCTCACTTATCCCTACCTCATCTCTTACAACCCATACTGATCCCCATCTCAGCTGCCTCACTTATCCCTACCTCATCTCTTACAACCCATACTGATCCCCATCTCAGCTGCCTCACTTATCCCTACCTCATCTCTTACAACCCATACTGATCCCCATCTCAGCTGCCTTACTTATCCCTACCTCATCTCTTACAACCCATACTGATCCCCATCTCAGCTGCCTCACTTATCCCTACCTCATCTCTTACAACCCATACTGATCCCCATCTCAGCTGCCTCACTTATCCCTACCTCATCTCTTACAACCCATACTGATCCCCATTTCAGCTGCCTCACTTATCCCTACCTCATCTCTTACAACCCATACTGACGGACATTTCAGCTGCCTCACTTATCCCTACCTCATCTCTTACAACCCATACTGATCCCCATCTCAGCTACCTCACTTATCCCTACCTCATCTCTTACAACCCATACTGATCTACATTTCAGCTGCCTCACTTATCCCTACCTCATCTCTTACAACCCATACTGATCCCCATCTCAGCTGCCTTACTTATCCCTACCTCATCTCTTACAACCCATACTGATCTACATTTCAGCTGCCTCACTTATCCCTACCTCATCTCTTACAACCCATACTGATCCCCATCTCAGCTGCCTCACTTATCCCTACCTCATCTCTTACAACCCATACTGATCTACATTTCAGCTGCCTCACTTATCCCTACCTCATCTCTTACAACCCATACTGATCCCCATCTCAGCTGCCTTACTTATCCCTACCTCATCTCTTACAACCCATACTGATCTACATTTCAGCTGCCTCACTTATCCCTACCTCATCTCTTACAACCCATACTGATCCCCATCTCAGCTGCCTCACTTATCCCTACCTCATCTCTTACAACCCATACTGATCTACATTTCAGCTGCCTCACTTATCCCTACCTCATCTCTTACAACCCATACTGATCCCCATCTCAGCTGCCTTACTTATCCCTATCCCAGGTCTAACAACCCATACTGATCTACATTTCAGCTGCCTTACTTATCCCAGCTCCATCAGCTGATGCCTGTCCCCATCCCAGCTCTGGCAGCCCGCACTTACGGTTACACTGAAGTCTACTTGGCACAAACACAGAGGAGAGGTAATGGACAAACATTTGAGGATAGGATGTATTTTGGGTATATGTATGTATATAAGGGTAGCGATCTACATGTATACGTACCTGAAAACTGTCTGAAGAGGCTTGTGGACTCTGGAAAAGATATAGCCGATTTCAGTACTTGGCGTACAATACCACAATCAGACCCTCATGCAGATATTGATGTGATTGACACAAACTTTTATCTAGTTTACTTTCTATGCAATTTATTTGTTTTATTTAATAAGTTGACGTCGGCTTTCAACATTATTTCAGTAATACCCCTACGTGATGCAGTTCTTACCCCGACGTGATGCAGTTCTTACCCCTACGTGATGCAGTTCTTACCTCTACGTGTTGCAGTACTTACCCCTAAAGGATGCAGTTCTTACCCCTAAATGATGCAGTTCTTACCCCTACGTGATGCAGTTCTTACCCCTACGTGATGCAGTTCTTACCCCTTCGTGATGCAGTTCTTACCCCTAAAGGATGCAGTTCTTACCCCTACGTGATGCAGTTCTTACCCCCACGTGATGCAGTTCTTACCCCTACGTGATGCAGTTCTTACCCCTACGTGATGCAGTTCTTACCCCTACGTGATGCAGTTCTTACCCCTACGTGATGCAGTTCTTACCCCTACGTGATGCAGTTCTTACCCCTACGTGATGCAGTTCTTACCCCAACGTGATGCAGTTCTTACCCCCACGTGATGCAGTTCTTACCCCTACGTGATGCAGTTCTTACCCCTACGTGATGCAGTTCTTACCCCTACGTGATGCAGTTCTTACCTCTACGTGATGCAGTTCTTACCCCTACGTGATGCAGTTCTTACCCCTACGTGATGCAGTTCTTACCCCTACGTGATGCAGTTCTTACCTCTACGTGATGCAGTTCTTACCCCTACGTGATGCAGTTCTTACCCCTACGTGATGCAGTTCTTCCCCCTACGTGATGCAGTTCTTACCCCTTCGATGTTCACAAACCATGACACATAATAAGCGCGAATCTGAGATTAGAACACAGAATGGGTTTCTGGCACACTCAATTCTCCACGACATACGACATCGTGGACACGATTCTACACGCCATACAACGTCGTGGAAACGACTTTACACGACAAACGACGCCGTGGACACGATTTTACACGACATACGTGTTGAACAAGTTTCTACACGGCATACGACATCGTGGACACGGTTCCACACGACATACAACGTCATGGACACGACTTTACACGACATACGACGTATTGGACAAGTTTCTACACGGCATACGACGTGGTTGACACGATTCTACACAACATGCGACGTGGACATGATTCTACATGAGTGAGTTGTGTTTAACGCCGCTTTTAACAGTATTCCAGTTATATCACGGCTTAATGTGGGAGGAAAGCCAGAAGTAATGCAGGTCTCAGACGTTTACCACTCCCATGAAACCCACGTGCACGGGTATGGTGGTGACAAACCTAGAAACATAATCAGGGCGAACTGGGATTCGAACCCAAAGTCATAGGTTTCTGGGGTGTCCAAGGGACGGAACTCTGCATAGCGGATTGCGGCGGCTCAGACGACTGGGCCACCTGTGCCACGAAATACGACGTCGTGGACACAGTTATAGGCGGAGATCATATTTCGGGTTCATAAAAAAACAATTATTGACCTCATATAAAGTCAATAATTTAACTATACTACTCAAAAGAAGTTAAGGATCACCTGATTCTTTCATATTACAATAGTTAATCTCTCATGCCATGACAGATTAACATTACCAATATGAAAGAATCGGGTGATCCTTAACTTCTTTTGAGGAGTATACAATGTACAAAAAAAGACATAGGCAGATTCAGCATGTCATGAGGAATGTAACGAGGTCAGAGATCAGGAGTCCACTCATCGGTTGTCTCATACGGTTGTCTCATACGGTCAAGTGTAAGATCTTCCGGACGACCACTGCACTAGAGGCATGTGGATTGCGTATGGGGTACTACGTGGACTGGCCTTATTACCAGTTTAAGAATATGATCAACACTTTGAGAAGCTATTACGGGATTGCCTAAAAGTCGGACCGGGCCGGGCCAGGCCAGCGGGTAATACTAAAAATGGATTGCAGAATATTAAAACGAAACGTGCATATCTAGGCAGATATCAAATGTCCACAAACGTATAGTTTTGGTCAAGTAATTGAGTTTGAATCTGGGAGTATATATTCGCGAATGTCAAACGTCTGTCACGACATGTGTTAATAATTTGTTCATTGCAAAATCTAAAAGATTTTAAAATGTCTTCTTTACGATTACATCAATCAAATAGTTGTTTGTATGTGTGATATGCTGTTATGCTGTTTGTTTATGTACCGATATATGTATGTGTGTATTTATGTGTGACTTGTATATTCGCATCATAATATTTGCAACAGCAGGTACAATTATTCTAAATTATTTTTTTATGTACAGTTTACTCTTATTAATTGTTTGCAATGTCAAATGAAAGCGACAATAATGTTAGGAGATTCCAACAAACGGAGACCACTGATTGGCTTAAGTTTCTAGAGCACCACTTTCGGGTAATTCCCATTCTACTTTTACCGTAAACAATCAGACCGGAAAATCCAAGACACGTGACCACTTGTATGCCAATGAATATGTCGGACAACTCCGCATCATACAATAAAATCATACACCAACTCTGACATCGTGGAGGCAGTCAGACACGAACCACGACGTCGTGAACGTCTACATAGTCTCACCTTTGTCAGTAGTGAATAGTCTCGGTGCCCCGGTTGTCCTCACCGGAAGTGGGGGAGGCAGATACCCCGTCCCTGTGTTGTCTGCGAAACAGAAGAGTGAGTGAGTGGGATTTATAATTAAAAGTATTTGAATTTTGTCACGGCGTGTCAGCTTAATGGGAAAGCCAGAAGGGATGCAGATCTTGTTTGTTTGTTTGTTGTTTAACGACGCAATCAGCAATATTCCAGCTATATGACGGAGGTCTGTAAAATAATCGAGTCTGGACCAGACAATCCAGTGATTGACATCATGAGCATCGATGCACGCAATTGGGATACGATGACATGTATCAACCAAGTCAGAGAGCCTAACCACCCGATCCCGTTAGTCGCCTTTTACGACAAGCATAGTCGCCTTTTACGACAAACATAGTCGCCTTTAACGGTAAGCGTGGGTTGCTGAAGACCTATTCTACCCCGGATTATTCACGGGTCGATGCAGATCTGGGACGTGTATCGCTTTGGTGAAACCCACGAGCACGGTATATTGTTGACAAACCGAGGATCATAATCAGGGCGTCATATGAATAGTGGTTGGAATCCAAAAAGGCGGACAACCTCTTCACAGTTACAAACTACGGATATAACGAATTTTAACAGACGCTTTAATTCGGTACAACCAAGTTTTACTTGACGGGTGGTCTTGCTACTAGTGTGGTCAGGTCAAAACTAATGTTTCGTTAGTGGATAGTTTTGGGGGAGTTTTCTCTCTGGTACTCACTTACTCTGGTGGCACTGAGCTGAAACTTATTGGCTAGACTCTTATATTTCGTAGCCCGTTTTCTAGTAATCCTTGGATCACCAACTGTCTGGTTTAGGTCAAGTAACTATTTACTATTTGGAGTCAAGTTACTCTTTTGGTCAAGTAACCTTTTGAATAATTGTGAGTCTAGATACTCCTTAGGTCAAGTACCTTGTATTTTGGGGAAGTTTAGAATTTCCCTGCTCAGTCAAAGTGGCGGAGTCTTTAGTCTATAAGATTAATACGCTATTCAGGCGTTTATCGTCAATTGTATTGTCCAAGACACTTATGAATACACAATGCCATTTAGAAAGTGGTCAAATGTAACAAATGTTGTATTTGGGATAACACTTTCTTAGTAAAGTACAGGGGCGGTCGGGTAGCCTAGTGGTTAAAGCGTTCGCTCGTTACGCCGAAGACCCGGGTTCGAATCCCGACATGGGTATAATGTGTGAAGCCCATTTCTGGTGCCCCCCGCCGTGATATTGCTGGAATATTGCTAAAAGCGGCGTAAAACCAAACTCACTCACTAGTAAAGTACAGATTCTCCTACTTTTTGGGGGTTGAGTCCCGTCCGGGATTCGAACCCACACTTGCCAGAGTGAGTCACCTAATCGCCTTCCACTGTGGAAGCCTCGGTGGCTGAGTGGGTTAGATCGCTGACTTTGTGTGCTGTCGATTAGGTGCCTCACTGTGGCAAGTGTGGGTTCGAATCCCGGACGGGACTCAACCCCAAAAAGTACGAGAATCAGTACTTTACTAAGAAAGTGTTATCCCAAATATAACATTTGTTACAAGACACTTATGTTAGGGATAAGCCGTTTGTATTTATTTCCCGCTATTTAACCCAGCCGAGGTTATTCACTTATTGGAGAGATGAGTTAATTAACTCGGGTGTTAATTAGTCACAGCCGACTTAAATGGCTGTCTCTGCATCTTGTCAATATCTTGTCAATATCTTGTCAAAGTGTTGATTTAGCTACCCTCTTTTTATTACTGTTATACCACCGCTAAGCTAGTCAGCCTGTATATTTGTCCTGGTTTAATTAATCACTGTTCGTTGTCAGTGTAAATTGGGTTTTTGATCCCTTTTATTGTCATCTATGCTTCCATCTGGCTGATATTAATAAACCGTGACCCTACAACCACGTTTTCATTATTACTTTATTTTTTGTCTATTGACACCCTGGTATCTGCATGGAGCATAGATCCGTGACACGTCATCGTATCCCAATTATGAAGATCGATGCTCATGATGTCAATCACCAGATTGTCTGGTCCAGACTCGATTATTTACAGACAGCCGTCTACCTCAACCCCTTACACACAACACCACCCCCCATCCCCACCCAGACTCACACGCACATGCGACCCGTGAAGATCCGGGGTAGAATTAGGAGATAAACATACTGTGTTTTCAATGTAGAGCTAGGTTACCTGTAGATTTAACCCCGCTAAATTGAATTTGGAACCGAACGCGCAGCGTGAGGTTTCAAATGTTAAATTTAGCGCGGTTAAATCTACAGGTAACCTAGCTCTACATTGAAAACACAGTATGTTTATCTCCATTCTACCATGACTAAATAAAACGCGAACTCTTTGGTGTTAGCAAATATACTGAGTGAAGCGGCATGGGTTGAGTCCAGTGTTTTGAGTGGGTTATCGATCTGAATTACGGAATTACCGAACAAATTATGGTGCCGTATATACTCAAGCAGTTTGTTTACACCGTAATACTTCACTCTAACATATGACAGGCATTGAAAGCATATAAGCACGGCAGCTTGGTAAGCTGACATGAGGTGGGCATCCCTAAAGAAAACAAAGCAAGCTTTTCAAGGCTTTCGCTCTACATCGCGCGTCACCATTATGACGTCATATCGCTCATTGTGACGCGAAAGAAATGACGTCACAGTCGTATATAGAAAAGCGCCAAAATTCCAAGCTCTCTGTGTCTCCAAAACGTAAAATCATTCCCTGTGTAGATTTCTATCGTGTTTTCTGCACGAAATGTATTGCCACACATCCTTTGAATATTGTAGTAACCGCGTCTGTGCATTTTGTAACCTGTAATTACAGATATAATTATTTAAATATGCCGACCGACACTGACTGAAAATAGTACTATTCTATGAATATTAGCTTCCGCGGTGATGCGGCCGTCAAACCAACTGTTTCAATCAGAGGGGGTTTATTGTGATTTAATAGCCTCTGATTGACCAATCAGCATCGAGTAAATTCCAAATTCATGGTAGAATAGGTCTTCAGCAACCCATGTTTGCGGTAAAAGGCGACTATGCCTGTCGTAAGAGGCGAATTACGGGATCGCGTGACCAGGCTCGCTGAGGTGGTTGATGCATGTCATCGATCCTAATGGGCGATCTTTTTGTTCCAAAGGACGATAACTCTCCTTTTGAAATGATATAAGCGACGGTCCAACCTGTCGCTTCCGGTCTGGTTCCCGGATCAATGCGCGCTGCGACAACGACTGACATGTAGAGACGGAGCCAAGCTAAAGAGTTATCCTGTTGCACCTTCGTTCAAAAACGGTCGTTTACAACTGAATATTTTTAACTAGCACATATTTTGTAGTGATTATTAGTTTATATTATCAACATTTGTTGAGTCTTCAACTACAAGACGAATTGTCACTTTGGAATATAGCGGGGAAAACGTCATGAAAAATGGTATATTGTCACGGTATTTTCTACGTCAGAAAACAGCGAGGCATTCTGTCAGTCTGGGCTAACATAGTGCATCGATGAAATAATGCAAACTCATTTTATTTATCAGCCTTTGTGTTATTTCCTCCAACAATTCATGCATTCAAATCTCAACAAATACAACCACGAAGTTCAATTTAATAAAATTAGTGATACGCCAACATTTGCAGCACACAGACATCTTTGACAGGCCTTTACCAATGATCTATATAGTAAGTATACATCCGTGCCTTTACAAATATTTTAAGAAGAAATAACGTTCAAAATAATAAAACAACTGATTTTAAATGTTACTTTTTTTTATATCAAAGTTAAAGTTGCATCTGAATATTTAAATTTATATTATTTTTGTACAAATAGGCCTAATGAACATCTACCATGCAGCTATTAAGCACTCAGTTACTCAGTTGCAATATGCATACTAGTCATCATACTTTGAAATAAGAGATTTACCTATATTATTCTGCCCCTTATAACATGTGTCCCACCATTAAGTGCTCTGAGTCATCACAGGTGTTAATTCATTGATCCATCATTTCTTACAGAATTCTGATACTCATGCTCTTAAAATAGTAGTTAATTACAGAGATGTGTCCCAACAAACAACAAATCATACTGAATACCCCACAAAATGTGTATGATACATAAATAGATCTAAATCAAAGTTTTATCTTCTTGTTTTAGTAACATTATATTTTTTTTAATGTTGACAAATTTCCCATACAAACCCACACACTATCCTGCTGTATCTAAGTATCCTGATTTTCATTCAACAGTACTTCAAGACACCTGTATTTTAAAGTATATTTTGTAGTTATTATTATCATATAGCAAATATGAATTTTATATGAAAATATGAATATGAAAGTTTATCATCAAATCTTCTGATAGTTAAATAAATGGAAATTGAACCCCAGTCATTCCATGTAGATAAATGGATTTATTTATGTTATTTGTTTTTGCATATAACAGATTATACTTACATATTTTACAGTCAGTGTCTATAATCAGGCCCAATATGTATTTTGACTGAACATTTCAGTCAATATGCATATTGACTGATTCACTCAGGTAAGGTATATTTTTTCTTAAATTTTCATTCATTTATTATTGACTAAAAATAGGACCGGATTTTAGACAGACTGGCTGAAATGTATAGACTGCATAATTTAATCTTCTCAAATTAATTTGGATCTAGTTTGATCTTATCAAGATCAAAGTAACTTATGTAAGAAATTAAAAATGTTTTCACAATGAATTGATTGATTCTCCAAACCTGAAAGAATACCAGAGTCCCAATACTAGTACACATGCACAAGTGTGCCAAGATATTAAATAAAATAATAAGAGTCATTGTGCAATGCAGATATCTTTTGGTGTGAAGTGAAAAAAGAAAAACATTAATAATTTGTTTGTTGGAATTTGAAACATCAGTTTAGAACAAGGAAACATAAAAAGCAAGGCCTAATGAAGTTAAGAATCAGCTTTATCTGTGTCACAATCATATGATTATTGTCAATGCAAACTGAATGTAGACACTGCATTGTTAATACACAAACAACATTATAGAGATTGGCAATTAGTATGAATATATTGTTTTATTTTATAAAAATTGTAGTTGGTACAAATACTCTTGAATATGTATTTTAACTAATTTATAGGGTCCCCTGTGTCTGAATTGGGTTTTTTCTGCTTTGTAAAATTAAAAAAAGGCCAAAATAATATATATCTTTCATTGATCATATTAAAATATAATCATGGTAGTATTTGGCAACAAACAGCTACCATTCATATACATAAAATCCTTGTATACAACATGCACCATTTAACCCTTAAATATCAAAACAGATTTCAGTGATTTCCATTTCTTTTATTTTGAAGATTGTATCATGATATCTAGTTGATGACGTAATTTTACAGTGCCTGTTACTCTTACAATTTCTTGAGAACATTTCTCATTGCTCTCAGTTATGTATCTGACAAATACTTACACGTGTTGCTGTCAATATTCACAACATTGAGCCTACGGGCAACGTTGCATGAGACCTTCACATTTCGCGTAACGTATCGCCTCACAGTTTAACATAATGAAATGCATGCATATGATGTGGCCTGCTCGGCGATGCTACAACATAGATATAGGAACGTATACAAAATCTACTTAATTTTCATAATCATACATCAAGGGCAACACTTTCAGTACCGATTGCAAAACGTCAACAAAGCGACCTGGGAGGAACGATCAGCTGATTTCACCGCATCGCTTCGAACGCCTATCTAGTGGTTAACTATACAATATAATCAGTCGTGGTCATCCCTGATGTATAATTATATCAAGGAACATATATTTCCGGACATGGCAATAAATAAATAATTGTTTAGGCGAAAAGATATACTGTCCGCACACAAGTGTGACCGTTGCCGACAGAGGTGAAGGTTGTACTGGTTAACTGTCTATAGACGTCATAGTAACATGTAGTGCTCGTATCGCGCATACCACATGCGCCGTCAGTTTAAGGTTGGACCGTCCGGGTCAGCGCACCTAGCGGGTTAGTGAAGGGAAGATAAATTGAAAAAGATCGCCCATTGCGGGGATCCATGCTCATGATATCAATAGTTGGATTGTCTGGTCCAGACTCGATTATTTACAGACCTCCGTCATATAGCTGGAATATTGCTGAGTGCGGCGTTAAGCAACAAATACACAAACAAAAATCACACGCACATGCAGAGTACGCACACACATAACAGGTCGAGAGCAGCGATGGGCTTCGACAGCCATGACACTGCGTGATGTGTGCGTCGAGGCTCTCGGAAAGCACACAACTAAGATTTGATGTTTTTTTAGACCGCGTCTCTGGATACTGCATGTCGTCCCTATTATAATCTGCAGACTGTTTCAAGTTTAAAAGATCACGCACTTACCTCTAACATAAAGTATGCATGACAAAACCATCATCCCCGCTATGACTGATAAAACCCTTTTCTTCGCAAACATCCGCATGTCGTTTTACTTCTCTACGATACCTGCACCAGCAGACACCGCATCTGCCAATCAGTCTTGAAATACATTCCACTTTTCGCACGTGGAAATCGTGCTAAATGTCACAGAGGCAGTTTGAGACTCGCTGACGCGCCTCATTGACAGACCGTGTCTCTTGTGGGTACGTTTTTACATTCTTGCTGTACACAACGGCATATCAATATACAGATTTTCAATTTGGCAACTGGGAAAATAAATACACCGTACATGACATATACATATGGAACTTAACAGCGGGACATAGTTTACCTAAAATACATACAGGTTGTCTTAATAATATTGCAAATCTTGCAAAATTTTCTTTATACAGTAAGCTTTTAATTTTGAAAATTGACAAAACTTAAAAAAACTTAGGTGTTATACAGTATTTACTTTGTGTATACGTTTTCCGATGTCTTCTTAAGTGCGGGCATTATAAAATAGCATGATATTCATCTCCAGAAAAAATATTGCACAAAATACAAATTCTACCCTTCTATTCTATCCTACAGCCCATCTCCCAACAGGGAATTCGAAGTGATGGCTCGCAGTACGGTGTTGCAGGAACTCTGTCCAACCACTCTTAGCTAAAACGTGTAGATGACTTTCAAATTTATAACATGTTTTAAAGTTTCTATAAGATTTTCCTTATGAAGAATTTGATAAAGATGAAAGTCATTTTTTAACATTTTGACCCTCTAACGTTGATTTAACAATTATATTACAAATAAAAGTGAAATTATATCACGGCTTCTCCAAATAAATAAACAAATAGCCTGTTTGCGAAAAAATAGTTGGAAGATATTTGATCCAGTTCTGCATATTTTTACCAATATAACTGCCAGTGTACATGATTTAAAGTAGCAGAGATGGAAGCTTATTTGATTTACTACAAACAGTATTTGTTTGTTTGTTTGTTGTTTAACTCCGCATTCAGTAATATTCCATATATATGTCGGCGGTCTGTAAATAATTTTCTTACACACCTGTGGGTGAGAAACCCATTTGAAATAACTGGTATCAAACATATGTGTGAGATCGAATTCCAGGCCCGTGATTGGCTACTCCATGGTGATGACCTAGGGTCAGATGATGACGGACTACTTTCTTGAGTGTAACAGCGTGTTCTTGGTTTTTGTCTAGTATGCATTTTCATCATCGCCTTGATAATCCACAGATAGGACGGAAACCTTTTTGTGTAGGGTCACATTATTTATGAGTAGTAAGCAGCACATAGGATGACGTCACTTATGACAGTGGTATTATGTATTAATGCGCTACTGCAATCATGAGACAAAATTCATCGGTTCGATGCTAAAAAGGTGCGATTTTAGGGTGTGTAAGAAACAGATTACTGCACTCGTGCCTGTCAGATACCATTGATCTTACAACTCGTTGTTACAAAGCGTATCTAACTCGCTTTCGCTCGTTAGATACGTTTTGAAACAACTCGTTGTAAGATCAATGGTATCTGACAGACACTCGTGTAGTAATCTCTATGTGTCTTGACCAGACAACTCAGTGCTTGACACCATGAGCATCGATCTACGCAATTGGGATACGATCACATACAAATACCAAGTCAACGAACCCGACCACCCGATCCCGTTAGTCGCCCCTTAGGTTATCTCCCATTACTTACACGTCCCACTTGTCACACACCTCTATATTCCCAGTTGTTACACGGCCTTGGAGGAGGCCCGAATGGGATTTACTCTCTGGATGCCGATTTTTTTTTCTGGCGCACATTTTCCTAAGATCGGAAAAGTGAAGGTTGTGCGAGAATTGCGCTCACGCGGCACTGGATCTACCCCTGGCTATAAAATTACGCAGAAATTACGGAGAATAATAAATTTCCTATTTGATGGTGTAAATTTAGCCCGCAAATATTAAACAGTTTTAAAAAAAGACACTTCTAAGTGTTGTCCGAGAATTTATTCTGCGTTGAAAAACAGTACATTTATCCGCTTTTTATCATACACCGATAAAAGTACTGTGCGACGATTTTTTTTATTTAGAAGCTTTACGGAAACTGTCAGCGAACAAAATACTGCCTAATATCTGAACGACATAACTACATATCAAATGGAGTTATATGCGTATGTATAACGACATACTTTCAATGCCAAAAATAGCATGCCGTAAATGACGAAAACTGATTTTTCTCGATGACGTCAAAAGGCGACAGAGAGGTTACACACGTACAAAGAAAAGGGGGCATAACTCCGCTATGCTTAGCACTAGTTTATTGTAACTCAGGTCACTTGATGAGAATTAGCTGTGGGTAAGGATTCCAGAGGGTTAAGTAAGACAACACCTACTCACCTAGTGATGGACGCGTAACTAATGGGAGGATACCGCCCCTCACGACAATCATGGGAGGATACCGCCCCTCACGACAAGCATGGGAGGATACCGCCCCTTACGACAATCATGGGAGGATACCGCCCCTTACGACAAGCATGGGAGGATACAGGCCCCTTACGACAAGCATGGGAGGATACAGGCCCCTTACGACAAGCATGGGATGATACCGCCCCTTACGACAAGCATGGGAGGATACCGCCCCTTACGACAATCATGGGAGGATACCGCCCCTTACGACAAGCATGGGAGGATACAGGCCCCTTACGACAAGCATGGGATGATACCGCCCCTTACGACAAGCATGGGAGGATACCGCCCCTCACGACAATCATGGGAGGATACCGCCCCTTACGACAAGCATGGGAGGACACCGCCCCTCATGACAATCATGGGAGGATACCGCCCCTTACGACAAGCATGGGAGGATACAGGCCCCTTACGACAAGCATGGGATGATACCGCCCCTTACGACAAGCATGGGAGGATACCGCCCCTCACGACAAGTATGGGAGGATACCGCCCCTTATGACAATCATGGGAGGATACCGCCCCTTACGACAAGCATGGGAGGATACCGCCCCTTACGACAAGCATGGGAGGATACCGCCCCTCACGACAAGCATGGGAGGACACCGCCCCTCATGACAATCATGGGAGGATACCGCCCCTTATGACAATCATGGGAGGATACCGCCCCTTACGACAAGCATGGGAGGATACCGCACCTTACGACAAGCATGGGAGGATACCGCCCCTTATGACAAGCATGGGAGGATACCGCCCCTTATGACAAGCATGGGAGGATACCGCCCCTTACGACAATCATGGGAGGATACCGCCCCTCACGACAAGCATGGGAGGATACCGCCCCTTATGACAAGCATGGGAGGATACCGCCCCTCGCGACAAGCATGGGAGGATACCGCCCCTTACGACAATCATGGGAGGATACCGCCCCTCACGACAAGCATTGGAGGATACCGCCCCTTATGACAAGCATGGGAGGATACCGCCCCTTACGACAAGCATGGGAGGATACCGCCCCTCACTACAAGCATGGGAGGATACCGCCCCTTATGACAAGCATGGGAGGATACCGCCCCTCACGACAAGCATGGGATGCTAAACACCCCTCATGACAAGCATGGGATGCTAAACACCCCTCATGACAAGCATGGGATGCTAAACACCCCTCATGACAAGCATGGGATGCTAAACACCCCTCATGACAAGCATGGGATGCTAAACACCAATACTAACTCAGATCTGCACGGGTCGCTAGATACAGTAAATAGAAGGCGAGCCCAAAATGTAAACTATTCGAGTACTTTTATATATGAAGCTTTCTTCCCTAAATATTCGGGTTCATGGCCTTAATTAAAAAAATATCTGGTTTTGCAGCTGTAGCTGTAAAAATGACTATTCTCCAGACCACCGCCTCCGCCCCCGCCCCCCCCCCCCCCCCCCCCCCAAGTATCAAATGGGCGGTGCCAAATCTGAAAACGTTAACCTCCTCTTACTACATATGTTTTCATACATTATTATTTTTAATAATAGTATTCTTTTTAATTTCATGAAAAAATACATGCATTTTGTTTGCAAAGTTAGATTGTCATATTCAAAATACAGAAACTGAAACAACTTTTGTCACATTTTGAGAACGTAATATATTTGAAACATCAAAAGTGCCCGATCACTTCGACTGAAGAGCAGTTAACATACACATAAAAGGCTCATTATACAGTGCACACTTATATCACGTGTGCGTGTGTGTGTTTGTGTGGCTGCTTGTACCGGTCCGGACTGATGCCGATTTATAGAGCTAGCTCACTGAGATACCATGCCGCAGTTTAACATGAATACCCCACTCAGACACAGTATACTGACTCCGGGCCGACCAGTCCTTGTTTTAGCCCCTTAATGCCGAGCGCCAGACAGGGTCACAACAAGTACCATCTTTTAACGTCTTTTGGTATGACGCTCTACCACTAGACCACGGAGGCGGTCCCCTGAAATAAGACATTGATAAGGTAGATTTGTTTGAACGTAAGGTTTCCTTATTGTAACACACCGTTACACTCCGTTTTCTAGTTGTATACTCTCTTTATCGCTTTGATGATGAAATATGTTTGTTATTTGCATATTGACAGGGATATTGACATATCAAGACAGCACCTGTATCTTGATAAACTAAAAATATAAAACAGTACTTACACAAGATGTACGTGGCACCCATGCAGATGCACACAGCCACCACGCCCTTCATGTGGTTCACCGACATCGTTGAAATGGCTGCAAGTCAAGTCAGGCCTGTTGATTGTGACGGTCATAAACTCCAGCTGACGACCAGCTGTTGGGGAGATCCACACATGCGATGTCGCTTATTGTTTAAATTCATCCTTCTGAGAAATTTGATCGTCATCAAGTTGTACGCTGTCAATATCATCGACTGAAATCAATTCGTCTGTATACTGTCCTGGTGAGTGAGTGAGTGGGTGGGTGGGTGGGTGAGTGAGTGAGTGAGTGAGTGGGTGAGTGAGTAGGTGGGTGAGTGAGTGAGTGAGTGGGTGGGTGAGCGAGTGAGTGAGTGAGTGAGTGAGTGAGTGGGTGAGTGAGTGAGTGAGTGAGTGAGTGAGTGAGTGAGTGAGTGTCACGCCACTTAAAAGTTCCCCATATCACG